TTCGTTGAACTTATTCTTATTAATAATTTAAAAAGAAATTGTCGTATCAGGATTATAGTAGTAATATCAATAGAAATTACAATTTTTGTGATTGAATGTTCTATTTGAATTTAATTTCAAGTACAAGGTTTCTCTATCAACAATTATGTTAGTATGAATAACAAAGAATCAATAGAATAAATAGGAATCATTTTTTGTTCAGTCACGATATTGAAGCCTGATGAAGACTAAACTTGTAAAAAAAAAGAAAAAGAAGTGCTTCGTCGTCGAACGAAAATTTAAATTAATTATTTTATATAGTTTCAAAAATTTAAGAGACATCTAATGATGAAAGAATAAATGAAAATTAGTATCCGTTTCATCTTCAAATAGGTAGATACTCAATTTGCAGTTATTAGAAAAAAAATCTATAGATATTATTTCTTGTTAGAAGTTTCAGTTTTCATTTCTAAAATTTTTTCTTATATTCTATGTCTTAATTGGATATGTTACTTCTTTTCTTTCTCTTCTACGAATAATTAAGATTACAATTACAAAATGCTATACATAGTTAAGATGTGGCATACAATGAAAAATGAGATTAAAAGACATTGTATTCGTTGGATATCACAATTTTTTTTTTCGAAATTATAAATCTTGATATAATATTAGTTATTTACATTTTCTTAATCTTTTTTGATAGTATAAATAATTTTATTTTCACATGGGAATTTTTCTGTAGATATTTTATCAGATTACGAAATTAAATCTTTTTTCTCTTATTAGATCAGCATAGAATATCAACTAAACTTTTTATTTTTATTATTTCTAGTATCTAAAGGAAATGTTAGACTAGAGAATTTTTTCAACTGTTAAATTGTTTTTGAATGAGCTATCAACTTGTCCGAAAATCTAGTACAACTGATTCAGTAGTGGGTTCATGAATCGTTTCAACTACACTATAGCATCATAAAGAGTGTGAATTTTTATCAGAATTCATTCTGGACTACATTGATCACGTTATGATCTATAGACGAAGAAAAGATTTTCACTACCGTATTTTAGAACAATGCTAAATGAACGCGAGATTAGGAAAGAATTGGCAAACATTTGAGACCGAATCTTCTGCGTCGTTCCATACATTTTGAATCGATTATTGATTTCGGCACAATTTAGCTCTGTTCGAATGAAAAGGTTCATAAATGCACGATATTGAACATGTCTGACCATTATCAGACACGATAATGAAAATCTTTTCTTTTTCTAGAGAAAATGAAACGATCGAAGCAGATCGGGATGAATCCTAATGAAAATGATGAACACAGTACAGAATCAGTTGCATGAATTTCTCTGACATTCTGATATAAATACCCTAAAAATAGTTCAAGCTCTTAGCTTATGTTGCGGACATCCTGTACGTTTACAATAGTTTTGAAATGAATACCACAGTAACAGAAAAACTTCTTTTCACACTTTCAACTTGAAAATTTGTACAGCAATAGATCTTAATGAAGATAGTTTCTTGTTAAAAACTCAAGTCTTTTGATTAGCTTCTATCCTGAAATAAGAACATTGAATCTACCATAAGTATAAAAGACAGCTTTAGTCCACAGTTGTATCTTAAGATAGAAACAACGACAAAATCTGAAATTATTACAAGAACCGATTCTCATTAAGACCTACCTCTTTACAAAGTTTCAAGTGGAAATTCGAAACCTCTACAACAATAAGCTAAGGACCTGAACTCTTTTCAGGATATTCATAGTTTATTTGACTCTACATAAAAGACGTAGCCTCGACCGAAGTTTCCGATTAGAGGAAGGAACTTCTCCTTCCCGAAAATATTCGATTTTCTGCTAATTTTTTTTTCAGTTTTGTAGCAACTTTGGACAGCAGTCGAATTTTCAAAGACTATTTGCTGTTCTCTGGTAGACAATGAAATAAAAATAAACAGATAATACCGCTATCAGATGGATAGGATTACGGAGACCTTGAATGAAGGACAACCTAGTGATAAGTAGTCTGTTACGAGAGAGATCAAGTTACGATGAATTTCATTCTTCTTTATTCTCGGACTATTATTGTGAAAGAGTGAAGATGCAACATACATTCTGTACATTATTATCAGTAGATTTGAATTGCTAGCATAACTAGTAAAAAGAAAAATTTGACCGAAGTATGATATCGTAAATTATCAATATTTATATTTATCATTGAGAGTGTCTGTCGTTATAATTGCAATCATTTATTTTATATTATCAAATATCAATATGAAGAATATTCATTTAAAGTATTTTGAAGTGTTAAAATTCAATGCAAATAACAAAACATTAATGGTTATTTATTGATTGCTATTACGCACCTTCGAGCAGTATCCATATAACATATTCTTTTGTTCTATTGAGAAGATAGCTTTTTATGAATAAAATATAAATAGTACTTAGTTCTCTTTCTCTTATACTTGATCGAATAGAACATATATAGATATTATTGATATATTCTTTGTTCAATTTAAAATGAGTAAAAATCAGTTCTATATATTTATTTTGACAATCATAACGATTGATAAGTAAAAATTAGAATATAGTATATTTTTCGATTATTGTCAATCATTTGATATATATGGTCATATATAAAATTATTTTTTTGATTGATTAATTTGAAATCTATATTTATGAGATTATACTGATTTAGCTTTTTCCTTTTTTCTTAATTAATACAAAAGATAATTTGATTTAAAAATAAACATTCTATTAAAAAAACAAATCAAAGTCGTTTTTTTAGCCTTATTCCCTACAGAATTAGAGTTCATTTAGAGATTATAACCTTGGTAGAAAAGAAAAATATTCTTTGATATAATCGTCTTTTTTTTTGTGAAGCTTTGATTAAGTCTTATATTAGTAATGACAAGATTCGACTTGATTACTTTCTAAATTCTTTTTAACGAATGAAACATGTTGATTTAATATCACATAACATTCTATGAAAATTCTTTCGGTTAGAAAACTTCTAGATTAATTAATTAAAGAATAGCAAGCATTCCTTCTTTTTTTTGACTCTCTTTTTCTCTATTCTCCTCCTTTTTTTTTGCTTCTAATAAAGTGACGCAAGATGAGAAAAACACAAGTTTGCCTACTAATAATCGTCAATCGAACCTACTCTTCTCTCACTATATGAATTGACCTTTATGTCAAACAGAGTAGAGTTCACCATGCCATGAAGAATTAAAGCATATAAAATTTTCTTTCATCATTTTCAAAAGACAAAAAAAGAAGAAGAAATTGAATTTTGTGTATATTATAGGATAGAAAATATAATCTACATGAAATTACTAATCAGATTTCTTTATCGCTTATATCCAATTCTATTAAACAGTAATACACCTGCTTCGTTGAACCATTAGTATATAGTTTTCTTTTTTTGCATATAATATATGTCTGCGTGTAACTATTCATGCAAGAAAAATAGTAGCGAAATCGAAAACTAAGAGATCTATTAGGAATATACAAAGAATGTATTTCAACGATAGATATCATGAACATGATAAAGTGGAAAAAAAAATCCCCAATAGAATACACATATATTTGTTGTCATGATCATCATGATCATCCTTACTTCTTCGATTTGATGGTGATAATTTAACCTTTTTTCCAATTACAGTGAGTCAATTCATGCAAAGCTATGACTTTAGCTTTTTTTTTTTAAATATATATACAAAAAAAGAATAGAATCAATATAGATGCTATTATTCAGTTTTATTACTGACGACAAATGAGTTTAGTAATAATAATAACAGTAACAAGTCTTGAAACACTCTTAGTAAAAAAAAGAAAAATGTGACAGAGAAGTGCAACAAGGAAAGAAAGATGTGTCAACTATGCCTGGTTGCGTTGCATATAAGAAGACAACTGCATTTTGTTAGCGGAAGATGACACATCCAAGGCTCATTTCCTTCTACATTTCACTTGTTCGCTCGTTCATAAAATAGCATGAGAAATGATAAAAGAGCAACTAACTGTCTACCACTTAAAACTAACATGCTACTAGTTTTCACTTATACTTCTTTTTTTTTAAGAATTACAAACAACCGACAATCAAAAAAAGAAAAAGAAGAACAATGAGTTATTCGTAAGAAAAGAAATGGATAAGATGAGCTAATTATTCGTCTTATATTTAACAGAGAAGAATTAATCAGCTAATTTAGAATGACAGTGGCAATTGATCTTCTCATTTTCTTTTTCTTTTTACTACTCATTTCATTAGTAAACATAATGGTCAGACAGACGGACAACTGTCCATTTTATCTGTCCCACTGGAGGATGTATCCTATATTATTTGAAATGCCACAATTAATAAATACATCATCAATGTTCTTGTCGTCTATTTATGTATATATATATACATATATACGAATGTGTTGTTCTTCCATTCATTTAAGTGACAGTCTAACACTTGAATATCTCATATGATAGATCATCATTAGACCATAGAATATGTGAAACAAAAAAAAAACTATGGAATGGAAAAAAAATGAGCAACTGATGGTTAACAAATATTACTCGATTTTTTCGTTAGCGTGCTTTTAAAGCTTGAGCTTGGTATCGGATGATCGGCGGAAACGATAATTTCTCAAATAACATAGCAATAAGATGTGTTCCCTTTCGTTCTCATTTTGTAATATAGAAGGGGTGGAGATCTTCTAATGAAGAAGTCGTCGTCGAAGAAAAGATGATGAAATAAATAGAATAAACTGTTCTTCTTTTCTATGATGGTTATTTCAGAGTATGAGAGAAGACGAGAGGAGAGCGTAAGAGGGGAGAGAGAGAGAGAGAGAGAAAGACAATGAACGAGAAGAAGGAGAAAAGAGTGAGAGAGCAAAAAGAAGGGAAAATAATTTCGGATAGATGATGGTGAATGTGAAGAAAAGAACGAGAAAAAAGGGAGAAAAGAAACAGTCGGTTGTCGTAGATCTGCTCGATCTGTTTTGAACAACGCCAACATCAGTCAGTCAAGCAATTCGTATGTGGTCAATATTCGTCTTATTGTTAATTCTAGTTCCACTTGTTGCACCGATTAATGTAAGCGCTTATATGATTAATCAAACAACAGCAAATATATCATGGATATATCCACTTGATAAGAATAATCCCGATGATATCTCATTACTCGGTGGAATGATAAAAGGTTTTTATGTTATCGTTTTTGCACCTTTATCAATGCAACCACCTATTGTACATCGTAATTATGAAGGTACAATTGGTACACAATATTGGGATATTGTTGGCAATTTAACACCTGGTACAACATATCATGCACAAGTAAAAGCTTTTACAAAAAAAGGCGATGGAAAACCAAGTGTACCATATATATTTACAGTACCAAAAGAAGATTTTCGTGAGTGAAACAAAACCAAAACAAGAAAAGAAAATCCTAATCATTCATCTTGTATTTATTTTTCTTTGCATTGTATTATTTATAATTTGAGTAGAGATATTATAGTACGAGAGAGATTTACTTAGCGTGTATATGAATGAAAAGTAATTGATCATCATGATGATCACTGGACACGCCCTTAATGCTCGAAAAAAAAAAGAAAAGAAAATGTGATGAAAAATTACTTTTCTTTATTCTTTGCGTTTTTTTTTTCATATTTTATCTCTTTTTCTTATATATTCGAGAGCAATAATTGTGATGAAGGAAAAAAATGATGGAAAAAAGAATACTCCGTTATCTTGTCGATGTATGCTCATCACCATCAGTAACAGCAGTAGTAGCAGTAGCACTACTACTCCAGCAAACACACAGAAATCAATAATGAAAGTTCTTATGCAATTCTCGGCTTTTTTTTTCTCTTCGCTTTCTCATACACACATAAGATGTAATAGTAATCGTAGTCAGTCTTACTCTACTGTATTGCCTCCTGGTTGGGGGTACTGATGTGTCTATCAATAATTGTCTACTTTTGTATAGACTTTCATTGTGAATATTTACATCCTGTATGAAGATAAATAAGTTTATATGACAATTCAGGTGGATACATTTTTTTTTCTCGCTTATAAGAAGATCTTATTAAATGTAATAATCTATGTAAGTTGTGCAATGCGTTAAAGCGTATAATAAGGTTAGCTCAATTGATTGTTGTCCGGCTGGTGATGTTTTCAAACAAGATGTTGTATCTAATTTACTTTTAGTAGCTGCTGGGAAAACTTGTTTTTTTTTCTTCTTGCATCACCCATATGTCATAGGTCACGATCGTCCGTATAAAAGAACTAGTGAAAAGTAATGCCCAATTTAGTATGTATGCTTGTCGGAAGTTGCCGTTCTTCTATTTTAGTGCGTGACAGACATCCAACTAATTCTTATTTTAATACATAAGAAAAACTTGACCGACAATGAAGTGAAAGAGAATACAGAACAAAAAGATGTCTTTATTGATCGAATTCTTTCCAACAGATCTTATCAATGTTGATGAGGAGGAACAAGGTTTTATATATATTGTTGATTATTCTACTATATTCAATAAGCGAGATAAGATTTTATATATATATATATATATGTGTAAGTTTATATTTCTAGTCATAGTTAAATCATGTGTGAATGTCATTGAAAGTCTAATGCATTCGATAAGTGAATGTGCGAGAAAAAAAAAATTGATCTTTGAATATTAAAGACTGAATGGATAAATTAGCCTAAGGCATATTATTGTCTGAATATGATGGACACAATGATTGAATATGTTGTATAATAAGTCTATATATAAAATTGAATTAAATTAAAATCGAAATGTTCAATATTATTTAATTTATGTAAATATTGAATTAAAAACCAAGTTTTTTTATGAAAATATTTATAAGAATTTTTAATAAGAACTATTTGAACTTCAATCCATGCATCATCTGTATTTAATGGATGATCTAAATAAACTATATCAAGTGTATGATAATGAAGAATATTGTTAAGATTCTTAGTTTTTGGTAATTCCCATTTTTCATATTGATTTTTTCTTAATAAAATATATTTTTTATTATTTTCTTCTTTTATTATTAATGATATTATATAACGATTAGAACCATAGTTATCTAATAAACTTTGACCAATTAAACCTGTACGTCCATAAGGATTTTTTTCGACATTAAAATTTTTATTTGATGAATTCGAATTTTTTAATGAAAATTTCAATGGATGATAATTAGGAAAGTTAATACTCCATGATAAATATTCTGATGGTACATATTGACGTTGAGATTGAATATAATTTATAAATGTTTGTAAAGAAGATTTATTATTATTTAATAATAATAAAGAATTTTTTCGACAAAAATAATTTTCACATTGATTTGAATGAAATATTTGCCATTGAAATAAATTTGAATCAAATATATTTAGTTGAAAATATTTATTAGACGATTTCGATAGGTTTTTATTTAATAATGAATTAAAATTTATTTGAAAATAGTCATTAAAACATTTTGGTACAGTTGGAATTGAAGAATATTTTAAATGAGTTTTAGTATGTAATGGAATTGAATGAGATTTAGGATTTATTTTCGGTTTTGTTATTGATCGAGGTGTTGCATTAATACTTGTTTCAATATTTGTATTAATATCTTTAATTAATTGATTAATTGTTATTTGACATGATAGATCATGTTCATATTTAGATTTTATTGCTAAAAAAGAAAATTCGAACAGGAAAACTTGTTTAGGTTATTTGTTTTTCTTCGTTCTATGATTACATTTATTGTCAATTAATATTGATTTTTCATTTGATTGATAATGTGGTGTAGAAAGTTTTTCGATTAACATTTCTTTATTCATTAATTTCTATTATAGAAAATGATTATTATATTAGATAAGATGAGATAAGCGCATTATTATTTACGAGTTTTTTCGTTGGAGAATAATTTAAATCGATAGATGATGATGATGATGATGATGAGAAAGGTACAAGAGAATCATTATTCTGTAGTTTAGAAAAGAGATATATTTGACTAAATAATAAAATTTGATTTATGGTATTAAAATAAACATGACCATGCCTGATGAATAAGAGACTTTTTTATTGAATTTGATATTAGATGATTTGAATATGATGAAGTTTTAGTTATTAATTGATCTTCTGCATTCATCGTCTAAGGAATTACACTTTTTAGTTTATCTTTCTAGAGAAAAAGTAATAAGACATCAAAGTTAGAGAGACATGAGAGACTAAGTTTGTTTTGATTCTGGTCACAATGATTCTAATTTTTGAAGTTCCAGCATTCAGAAAATCATTCCAGAATTTATTCGTATCACATATTAAATCATTCTTCAATACTTGTTTTGTTTTATTTCATTAGTTGACGACTAGTACTGTTTTTTGAGTCATCACTCTTGAATTATGTCCTGATTCATATAATTTATAAGACGGTTTGCATAAAACTATAGAATATGTTTACAATAAACTTGAGTTTCAGTTTCCATAAAGTTTGTTTTACTTTTTGGTTCTGCACATCACTAATCAAGAGTCAATAGTCGATCGTGAATGATAGTATGCATTTGCAGAAATGTGCTTTGATCGTTTATACATGAAGATGATATCATGTAAATATTTGAATTCAAATATATGAGGAAAATATTCAAGAATTTTTCTGTATATTTCATTGAATTTTTATAAATAGTCAACATAGTTACTCTTCTTTGGTCAAACATAGATTTTGAGTTAGTTACATTTATGGATAAAAGTCTTTTCCGTTCCATCCAGATCTCAGCCATCATGAGGCAATAGAGGCCTGAAAATTTGTTTGCTCGTACTCCACTATGAATGTATGTCAATAGTACTATCCACATCCTGTTTGGTTGAACAGACACACTAGGTTATTATGAATGGTATCCATCTTTGCTTTGAGCTTCATAATCCTTGAGGGGGAGGAAGTTCCGGGTCGACAAACCTATTATTATGTGGCACTATACTTCAGCTATCTGTCATAAAAATTTCTGGAGAGTTCGTCAATCTCTATATAGATTATAGTCACTCTATTCTCAGCATTGATGTGCACAAAGTCATTTGTTATCCTTTAAAAATCCATAACTCAAGAGGAAGCATTCAAAACTGTTTAATCGATTTTTGCTTGAGACTATTGTTATTCGATTAATCATGATGAATAGTGAAAAATTTCTGCTATGGTTTGGTTTTTCACTTTTAATTTGTTAAGTACGGGTCGTTTTATTCACTTTTTGGCCTATGACTATTGGTTCACTAGAAATTTGAATGAACGAATTTCGAACTAAAATTTTGATCATAGAGAAGTCTATATTCTTGTGTTGACATACAACTCAAAATAGGCGCTTTGTTTAACATATGAATATGTAAATTAGGATATGTTCGTTCTGATCTCAGTTTTGACAAAATTTCAGCTCGAAATTCGTTTATTCAAATATCCAACGATCTCATGCTCATAGTCAAGAAAAAAATGAGTAAAATGTCCCTTAATTTAATAATTGACGGTTTAAAAACCAAAACAATCTTTTCATTATTCATCATGACTGATCGAATGGCAATAGTCTCAAGTGAAAAGTGCCTGGATCATTATACATGCTTTCTCATCAGTAATAGTTCACAAAAATAATCTGAAATTTGTATAGAATCATTCTCGATATGTTGACATTGTTTTTTTTTTACAAAGTCACAGAATCAAATGTTGTACTAGAGCGACATGACATACAGATGATCATCTTGTTAGTGTCAAGAATCCGAAGACTAGTATTCAAGCAAATAAAGTTATCTTTTGAACGAAGAAGAACCATAGACCGTACTTATGTTTTATATAAAAACCATCAGCATTAATCATGCATTTGATAAGCAACAAAACAAACTTTAGAGTAGACCGCCTTGCACAGTTATATATCTTACAGTATGAAAAATAGATTTCATCCATTAGAACTAGGTTTCCACTCAAGTAAGCAAGATTCAGATGATGTCGCTAGTTTACATATCTGTTGAAGTATGTGCACACAAATTTTCAGGCTTCTAGACATTATGATGATCGAGAACCAAAGGAGGAAAGACTTTCATTCAGGACTATAAATCGAATAACAGATTTTAAAATTCTAGGAACAAGCCGATTTTAGTAGAAATCTTTTTTTTCTAAGTCTACATATCATAGCGTATCAGTTCTTTTCAAACTTCGATTTATTTTTGCTTTTTCACTTAAAACATTGAAGAGTTTTTTACTCACACAAAAAAATTATTTAAAAATATCCCCAAGACTTAAACATAAATTGATTTTCGAAAACATTTTCCGTTTTGTATTATCAACATTGATGGAAATCATAATACAACACGATGTTAGCGATGCTTTCTCGAAGATTATTTCCGCAAACACGAGCCCCATCATTTCCGATGTACTTGATGCTGTAAAACATTTGATAGAATTGAAGTTATTCTATTTATCAGCAATATATAGTCCAAACAGGAAAAAAAAAGAAGCGTAATAGTAAACATGACTATTTTCATCTTACAAAACTTTTTTTTCTTTCTGAAGAAGAAAATGGACCATGTGCAATATCTTTTTAGTTTTATTTCTCAATAATAATAAACAATATTTTGTTCATAATCCATGACAATTAAAAAGCTATCAATAGTAGAGCTCATCTTGTACAAAATATTCGGATCGGGATTGATTTCTTGAGGTTTTCGAGATTTGGGATCGGACTTGATCCGATGGGTCTTAGTCGATAGAACAATATGATAGAATTTCTCTTAAAAAAAAGAGAATATTATTTGTACGTTTAACTCACATCATCAATTAATGTAATTGGTTCGATAATATTACTATCGTTTGATGATCTTTGACTAAGTCTAGTTTTTGGTGGACTTGGTAAATGACGAAGAAGACTTTCATATGAACGATGTGATGATAAGATTTTCTAATTAAAATTCAATATTTATTTTATATAATAATTGAATTAGAATAAAACCTTAATAGACTCTAATGGTTTATTGTTTTCAAAATTTTTTATCGATGAATTTTGTTTATTAGTTGATTGAAAATTATTATGAAAACATACTGGAATATCATATAGAGGAGAATGATTTTGTTTAAGAGAATTATTTTTATTAATATCATCTTTCCAAATATCTATTGATGATAAAATAGCATTATAATTTTTTTCATTTCTATTTAAATTAATTGAATAATTTAATGTTTGATTTTGATGAAAACATTCTGATGCAAATAAACAACATAAATAACAAGTTTCTGTTTGTTTATTTATTTTATATTGTGCAATAAATGAAGATAAATCGATACCATATGTATGATTATATTGATGTTTATTCTCGGACATGAGTATCTCATTATTAAGATTAGATATATTCATCAATGTCAAAAAAACAAAAAAAAATACCTCAATCAAATAAAAAATATTTTACCGCTTTATTTTCTTCTATTTAGGACAATTAACTCCAAGTAATTTAACAGCATATGTTGTCAATGCTCATACATTAAGTATTACATGGGATTTACCATCAAATGTAAATGCTATAGATAAAATTTATATAACTGTTATTGAACTTGGTCAAACAAATCGAACTATACAATCACAATCATTTGATAATACAATTAAAAAATTCGATATTCAAATTGATGCTAATGATCCATTTGGTATATGAATAGATCTTTTGTTTTTCTTTTGATTTATTACAATAAGCATTTCTCTCTTTTTTTTTTATTTTCTAAGGTATTCATCCAAATCGAACTGTCTATTTTGCTGCTCGATGTTCAGATCGTAATGGACAAAATTCATCAATAATTGAATATCAACTTTATGTCAATATGCTCAGTAAGTTTAGATGCATAAAATACATATATTTTACTTCTTTTTTTTTTCTCGTCTTTATTCAATGTTTTAAACCTCTTAAAATATGCAAAGATTCAATGAAAAAGAACAAAGACATTTTTCTCCTTCGCTTTTCTTGCTGTGTGATGTTGACAGAACGACATCCTGTTGTAAAAGCATGCGCGCTTGCACATACACATACACTCTCGAATGAGTGGCAGCCATTATTATATTTGATTTATGTCACACGGAAAAGAAGGATGATCGATTGACATATAGAGAAAAAGAAAGAAAAAAGAAGAAGAAAAAACTCGAAGGTCTTTCAATAGAATAAGAGAATTCTCGTGCGTGTGAGTATGCGTGTGTTTTTTTTTTGTATCTAAATGTTCAATTAAATGTTGAATTTAATAAACCAAATAGGCCAACACATCTATTTTGTCATAAATCAGATCATGTGCATGACTAAGGCTTCATATTACATCTATGCACATACATAAACATGCATGCGACTCAGTTCGACTTCATCAACCTCTCATATTCGAGATTTCTTTTTTGATGCTGTTCCCATTCTTTGCCGTTCTTTTCTTTCTTCTATAAAGCGAACACATACATACACACATTTCTTTTTTGTTTGCATCTTCTGAGTAGACAAAAAAAGGCAATAGAACCATTAGCAATAGATATCTCTCTTTTTTTTCTTCTTCTTCGTCCTATCCTCTTTTTTTTTCTCTTTGTGGCATTAACTGCCGTGAAGAGAAAAAAAAGAATCAAGTTAGTATAGAAATACAGAACGAGCGAGAACGTTCAACCAAAGAAAGTTTCTTTTCTTGACATTACACAGATGTAAAATTTGATCGTTTTTTCTTCCCAACTTCCCTATCTTAATGTGGTTATTATTAAAACAAGAAAAAGAAACGTATAGAAAAAAAACCAAGAAGAAGAAAGAACTTATCAATGAGTCTTTCATCATAGATTATTGTATTAAAACTAAAGAATAGAAATAACTAACGTCTATTACATAATGATACAGACAACAATAATCATACAAAACCAATCATTATTTTAATATCTTACTTCATGTTTCATCATATTCTTATACTACTACTTCTTTTCCTAACTTATCATCCAATCTTCAATGTTACTGTACCTCCAAATATATATTATGCTCAAGTGCCTCATTTATCAACTTGTAAGATAAAATTAAACTTTAATAGTTTCTTTTTTTTTTGACATAAAAATATTTTACATAATTTATTTTCACTTATAAATGTATAAATATATGCATTTAGATCCATCGCCGCGTGATATTCGTGTTGTTCGTATAAATGACACAACAATTCAAGTTTTTTGGTCACCAATATATCATCCTCCAGTTGAACGATATATTGTTCATTATAATGATAAATCTGAAAATAAACCTGAAAATCAATGGTCATTATTTTCACCACCTAATTCAAGTACAACATCGGCAACAATAAGTGGCTTAAAACCTGATGCTATGTATAATGTTCGTGTTAGTGCAGAATTTTCTTCTGCAAATCTTTATGATCCATCATATGCATCGGGAACAACACGACGTGAAGGAGATTTATCTGAAATTCATGTTGCCGATATATACCATCGTAAGTATTTCTTTTTTTTTTTCTTTTGTCTTTATCAAAAAAAAAGAAATTTTCTTTTTCTTTTTTTGTCATTTGCGTGACAAGAGAAAAGAAATTGCTTCTTTTTTTTGCTTGATGTCATTTCATTTTTGTCGTTTCAATTAAATTTGAACATAGAAATCTTCGACATCTATATTAGTTGAATGATTAGTAAGAGTATGAAGTAGAAGAAGAATTAGAAAAAAAGTGAATGTAAGAAATTATTCATCATGCCTTTAAGAAAAAAATTCCATTGACTTAAGACTTTTTTTTTGTTTTATCAAGGGCAAAAAAGAAAAAAAGACAGAAAATAAGATGTTCGTCTTTTGTTTTTTTTTTTCTTTTGTGGTCTGATCTTAATTGATGTTATATGCATTCCGAACAGCAAGAGATAAGTATAAGCACATGTCTTGCGTGATAAATTCTTCATGCACAAATTCTTTTTAATGATCTCCGTCTGGTGTTCGACGTGATGATGTGCCTATCATGTAATCATTGGTCTGTAAAATGATCTATTTCGATTGACCATTATCATAGAATAATCACTATCAATCAAAAACTGAACTTAAAATAAAAAAAAACAAGAATCGATTAAGTGAATGTGCAATCTTATGGAAAATATTCGTGTTTAATCATCAATTCTATTAGTTGGTCCATAGAGATCAATAATCAATTGTGTAGATTTTTATCTCTTGAGAATATGACAACAAAAGAAAAGAAAAAGATTTTTCTTTTACTATTAGATTTAATAAAAACAAAATACAAAAGACAAAAATTAGTATTTTGTGTTTCGATAATTTAGAATATTGCACAATCATTATCGTCATGCAATAGATAGATCTATTTAAGATTAACTCTTCAAAAAAAAAAAAAAGAAGTTCTTCTAATAATTGTATGCTTATTGATCTATGCATTAGGGAATTTTATATAATTAAACAACAGGTAGTTGATATAATCAAATGTTCAATTCGAATTCTAATCGAGATTATATTCAGAATTTTTAATCCAAACTAGGCGTAGAAGTGTGTAATCAACGCTTCTGTTTATTGTGTATATTTTTTTTGCTTTTCTATGAGTTTTATTGTTCCAGGCAATGGACAGCTCAGAACTATAGATTCAAGAGGATGTTTCGTACTGCAAGCGATTCCTATATTTATTTTTCTTTGATGTAAATGAACGAAATAGACTATCCTTTAATTTTTTTTTTTCTAGGTACAAAAGAAATCATTCAATATGATGATCAATTAAGTCGACCATATAATCTGACTTATGTTGATCTGACATCTAATAGTGTTAAATTATTATTTTTCTTTAATGAAAGTAATCTTAATCCACGTCGACAAATACAAAAACTTGAAGTTTGTTTATTGGAAAAAAAAGTGCTAAACATTTTCTATATGACTTCTTTGTTTTGTCCAATAGGTACATTACGAAGGCATACAAAATTATGTCGATGGTTTAGGTACACTACGTTCAACTTCACATCATAATTTAGCTGGTCTTATATCAATTCCACCAACACAAGGTGCACGTGAATGGCTTGTTACTGGTTTAGTTCCAAATACTCAATATACATTTAATTTAACTGGAACAATATCATCATCTGAACAATCATCAATTAAAACTTATAGTCGTCCAGCAACAATACGTTTTTCAACTGATTATGATGCACCACCATATGTTGATCGACCAGAACAAGATCGACGAATTCTAACTAAAACAAATACATTATCATCAGTTCCACAACAAGTTCATCTACGTCTTCATCGTGCATCAACAAAAAATGGACCTATTGATCGATATTATATTGTTGTTCATCTTATTGAACATATTTCATATCGAGCATATGTACCACAAGAGGTATTAACAGATGGCTTTCTTCTTTTTTTTTTTAATGAAACACAATCTAAAAGGAATGTTGAAGTATAGGAGTAAAAATTTAAATTTTTCAATAGATCATGAAGTAGAGTCCATTCGATCTAAAATTTTCGAACTCGGACTAACCATACTGTGACATGCTCAGTGAAATTTTCTAATTGACATTGGATAAGTACCTCGAAGACATGAGATACTTTTTTTTCTGTTTTTTTGTATTCGCTAAAGACCCCCCATTATATACCAACTACTTATTGCATTTTTAAAGGATCAAATGAAATGCTAATGAAAATATGTATCCCAAAATAGATAGAATAAAATAATCTCGCTATGATTATACACAACAGTTACATCGCGTTTTACATTTTAATCCCACAAGGATTGTGTTAACAGCTTTTCTATAAGAAAAAAAAATTTTTTTTTTTCTTTGATAATAGGGTCGTCGTGAGTGTTGTTACACAGCAGCAGTGTTTAATGAATCTCAATTACCGGAAATATTTATATTAGGTGATGGTAAAGAAACACGTGATTGGGAACCATTTCATGGTCGTGTTTATAATAATTCTCCATTAATAAATGTATGTAAAGTTAAATTAGTATCATGGGGTTTTAATCGTAAAAAAGAAAATTTAACAACATCAAGTTCAACAATACAAATAAATTTATTACCAAAATTAGTACAAACACAAAATCAAGATACATTTTATAATTTATTATGGATATTTGGTATAATTGTATTAATATTTTTAATTGTTCTTATTATAATTATATTTATATTAAAATATAATCGAACAAAAAAAAAATCTTTAACACCACCACCAGAATGTGTACCATTTGATTTAACACCTAAAGTTTTAACAATGGAAATGCAAATGCCAACATTACCATCAACAATATCACCAACATCATCAAATGAACATGTCGAATTACGACGTAATCAAATAATAAATACATATAATAATACTAATGCGAATACAAATACAAATACTCATACAAATAAAGAAATTATTTTAACAAATTATCCTCCTATACATGTTGATGAATTTTCTGAACATCTTGAACGTTTAAAAGCAGCTGATAATTATAAATTTTCACAAGAATATGAAGTAAGTTAAATATATATATATAATTTTATAATTAATTGTATTTATTTATTTATTTTTAAATATTTCTTTTAGTCTATTGATCCTGGTCAACAATTTTCATGGGAAAATTCTAAATTAGAATATAATAAAGCAAAAAATCGTTATGCTAATGTTATTGCATATGATCATTCACGTGTTATTTTACATACGATTGATGGAGTACCAGGAAGTGATTATATCAATGCAAATTATTTAGATGGATATAGAAAACAAAATGCTTATATAGCAACACAAGGTCCATTACCAAATACATTTGCTGATTTTTGGAGAATGATATGGGAAACAAATTCAGCTTGTATTGTTATGATGACAAAATTAGAAGAAAGAAATCGACTTAAATGTGATCAATATTGGCCAACAAGAGGAACTGAAATTTATGGTTCAATACATGTTACTTTAACAGATTTTATTGAACTTGCATCTTATAGTATACGAACATTTACTATAGCATGGGTATGAGTTTTATTTTTTTTTTCAATATAAAAGATATATATATATTAATAAATTATTTTAGACTGGTCATCCAGAAAAACGAGAAGTTCGACATTGTCAATTTACAGCATGGCCAGGTTAGAATACAAAAATAAAAGTTTACTTTTTATTATTATTATTAATTTTTTTTAATATATGTATAGATCATGGAATATTAGAACATGCAACATCATTTTTAATGTTTGTTCGAAGAGTTAAAGTCCTTAATCTACCTGATGCTGGTCCCATTGTTGTACATTGTTCAGCTGGTGTTGGTCGTACGGGTTGTTTTATTGTTATTGATGCTTTATTAGAAAGATTAAAACACGAAAAAACTGTTGATATTTATGGACATGTTACTCTACTAAGAGCACAACGGTAAAACAAGTTTTTATGCATTACGAAACTTGATTATTACATTGTTCTCATGCTATTCAACAAAGGATATACTTTACTAAGATTATCATTAGTTGTAGGATTTACGAAAATAAAACAACTTTGACAATAGGATCGATCACATTTAAATAGATATTTTCTCTAAGTAGCATAGGTATGGACAAGGTGTTTCTTGTCCTACGAGAACTAAGACAGAAAGCTGGATCGAAAATTTTTCTCTGCGAACTCGGATGCAAAAGTTTTTTCTGATGGGACATTAAAAAGACGAATTCCGCTCATGTGTAAATTAGCATTATCATGCTTGCTCGTTCTCTTTTTTCATATCTATTCATGAATATTGAAAATAGAAACGAAGCGGATAATTGAAGAAGAATCCTTTTGACTTCAAGCTATCTTTTTTTCAAGATCAGATAAGACGGAAGTTAAGAAATTCTTCACATTTTTGACTTTGGAGAATAAGATAACAACATGTATTCTATGATGCGAAAAGAAAAATAAAATATTATTATTTGACTTTTCTTTTTAATAGAAATTATATTGTTCAAACTGAAGAACAGTATATATTTATTTATGAAGCAATAAATGAAGCTATTCAATCAGGTCAAACCGAAATTATAGCAAGAAATTTATTAACACATTTACAACGATTATTACAACCAATAAATGATAGTTCATTAACAGAAATGGAACTTGAGTTTAAAGTAAACAATCATATATTTTTTTTGCAATCTTAAATATGTATATTTTTCTTTTTATCTAAAATTAAGCGTTTAGCAAATGTCAAAGCACAACCATCGAAATTTTTAAGTGCAAATAATCCAGCTAATAAATTTAAAAATCGTCTTGTAAATATTTTACCTTGTAAGTCAATCTTATTTTTCAAAAAGAAAAATAATAATTATTTTTAATTCTCAGATGAAAATACTCGTGTATGTTTATCTCCTATTCGTGGTGTTGAAGGATCGGATTATATCAATGCATCTTATATTGATGTAAGTTAATCAAAAAAACAAAAACAAAAACAAAATTTTCTTCATATTTATTAAAATTCTAATTGAATAGGGTTATCGATTTAAAAATGGTTATATTGCAACTCAAGGACCATTAACTGAAACAATTGATGATTTTTGGCGAATGGTATGGGAACATAATGTAACAATAATTGTTATGTTAACAAAATTAAAAGAAATGGGTAGAGAAAAATGTGTACAATATTGGCCATCAGATCGATCAACACGTTATGGTTATTTCATTGTTGATCCCGTTGGTGCTTATAATATGCCACAATATTTATTAAGTGAATTTAAAGTGACTGATTCAAGAGTAAAGATGAACTTTTTAATTTTTTTTAATTAAAAAAAAATTCTCTTTTTAAATTTTTAAATAGGATGGACAATCTCGTACTGTTCGTCATTTTCTATATACTGAATGGCCAGAACAAGGTGTACCAAAAATTGGTGAAGGTTTTATTGATTTTATTGGACAAGTACATAAAACTAAAGAAGGTTTTGGTCAAGAAGGACCTATTGTTGTACATTGTTCAGCTGGTAAATTTAATTGAAAAAAAAAAATTTTTATTCAAATGAATTTTTTTGTATTTTTGTACTAAAGGTGCTGGACGAACAGGTGTTTTTCTAACGTTGAGTATTGTACTTGAAAGAATACGATATGAAGGTGTTGTTGATATATTTCAAACGGTGAAATTATTACGCACACAACGACCAGCACTTGTTCAAACAGAAGTAAAAATTTGATTATTTTTTTGAAGTTAAACAAAAAAAAAATTTTGTTTTTCATTATAGGATCAATATCAATTTTGTTATCGTTCTGCACTTGAATACTTGGGTTCATTTGATAATTTTGTTTCATCTTGACTAATATAGCAAAAAGAATAAAATAAAATAATCTAGTCAATACAGTGACGTTTCATTTTTTTGTTTTTGCCCTTCTTTTTGTTCTTTTTAATAATAATAACTTTGTAGATTAGTATTCTCTGATAAAAAAGCGAATAAAATGTGATGTTTTACAAAAAAATATATATAGAATAAGAAAAAAAATAATAATAATATGCTAGAGCTTCTTGAATTCTTTCTCTTTTTTGTTTTCTTTTGATTGTATGTACATATTTGTTCGTTTTGTTTTTTTTTTTGATACTATTTTTCTAACCAAGTGTTTGGTTTAGCCTATTTTTTGTTTCTTTCCTTGTTTGTTTCTTTTGCTCATTGTGCTAAGAAATCTTGTTCGTTTTTGTTTTTCTTTTTGTTTATGTGTGTATGTGTGTAATTTATTATTAGGGATGAAGTTTTATTTGGAGTGTCAAAAAATTGTAAAAGCTCAGATTCTTTTTTCTTTTGTTTGCAAATTTGAATTAAGAATATTTATTAACAAAAATAATAATAAAAAGAAAAAAGATTGTACCGATTTAGTCGGAAGAAGTTTTTGATTTTAAATGGTATATTATAATTATTTAATGATTCATTTTGTAATAGACGAAAATTTGAATGAGTTTTGATTAAGATTAAATATCAATTTGTTTTAACGTTCATTTCATATTATTATTTGCTTTATGAGTATCACTAATTGAAATAGCTATCAATAAAAGTATTTTGGTTTTTAGTTCTATTTCTATTTGTTTGTGGTTGTGGGAACTTTCTTATGATGTACTCTATAATGGAATACGTGCTTTGTCGCTAATCTGGAAGATGTTAAATAGAATCGTTAAACTAATAGAATAATTGCATAGATAGACTGTAAGAATAATGAGACAGAAAGATAATTATATTAATAGAATTATTGTTACGCCAGTCATTCAATATTACTCACTGCTAAAAATGATAAATACTTATGACCAATCTACTGATTCTATTTATGTATTAGACAATAGTACAACATCAAAAACTGTCATAACAGTAATAAATATAGTAATGATTAATTACTCTATTGAAATACTAGCTTATAGGATACAATCTTCGATTAAATTTTTATAAGTATTGAATATCTTAACTTTGTAAAAATGAGACAAAGTATTTTCCAATACTATATTGAAATTGTTCAAATCGATTTCTTGTTGAGGTTTGATAAAGTATTTGTTTTCCTCATTCATCATCACACAAAACAAGAAATCCATTCAGTTCGACAGGGTTATTTATCTTGTGTCATGACAAATAGACAATCACCTTCGCAGACACTTGTATCAAAATATTTAATGACAAATATGTTACAAACAATAGTTGTCAAATATTGTAAAACAAAAACAAAAAAAAAAAGAATTGTATGAAGTAGTGACAAAGTATTGTTTTGTACTAAATATTTCAATCGAATGCATCTCGGACGGATGCCTAGTCTTTGACTATTAATCTTATTTGTTCTATTTTTTCCAACTATCAATTACTACTATTCAAAATGTAAGAAACTAGTTTTTACAACTTATGTATTCAGATATTTACTTCATCTATTTAGATATTTTACAGTCAATCTTTATATTTTTATTATCATTTATAACATAAAAACTTATTTATCATAAAATTCATACAGAATGATGTCTTATCAATATTAAAAAAAATAAAACTCAATTTTTCAAGTAATAAAAGCCTTCAATAGTTTCATATAACAAAAACATACATCGTACGATGTAAAATCTAATGATGCTTTCTTTTTCTTTCTTATGTATTCATCAGTCAAGCATTTATGCAAAACATCTATTTAATATATTCGAATAAATATAACAATATTTTAAGCATTCCAAACATGTATATCTCATATTCACAAAAGAAAGCATTAAACAAGAAAAAAAACATAAAGATTATCAATCAATGTCATGCATATATGCGTTAATTTTTTTTCTCTTCTTATTGTTGTGCTAATTCAATGTCATGTACAAGTTTTGTAACCCATTGAGGAACAATTGGTGTTCGATAAGCAATATATGTTCCACGATTTGTGTTACAAATAATAAAATCACTATTTTTACTATTTTTCATTGTTGCTGGACGTATACGTTCAATAATACCATCGGATGGAAATTTAATTAAAGGTATTGCATTAGTTCGTCTTCGTCCAACGACTCCTGGAATAGGTAATGGTATAGTTTGTAATTGAGTTGTTTGTAAAGATGGTTCGAAGAAAGTCCTTCTTGATGAACGAATATCACTTGATGATGAACGATCATATTCACAACTAATACCAGAATCATCATCTGTAAATGAACTACGATATCTATTGAAATTCAATTTTGCCATATTTAATTCCAATTGTAGAATATAGTTTCTAATGATGATGTTCTAATCTATAGTAGTCGACTATTTTATGTGACGAAATGAATCATTGAATACGTCAAAAAGAAAAAAAGAAAAAAAAACAACAAGTAATTCGATCTGTGTATGGCACTATTATAATGATCTCTTGTATTATGTATGAAAGAGGAGAAAAGAAAAAGGGCAGGGTTATATGATCATTCTTAAAGAATAATTTTCTTTTTCCTTATCAATAGAGTTGAGTTGAAATATGAAACAAGTGAAATTTGATATCTAAAAAGTTCTGTATTTTTAATATATATGCACGAAATAATCCCTAATAGGAAGCCCTTATTTTGACCTAAATCTCAGTTATAATATTCAAATGTAGATGATAAAAAAATGTTTGCTTAAATTATATAGAAAAGAAATTTGATATTTGTTTTTGTATTTGTATTTGTCTATGATTATTTGCATGTGTTGAAAAAAAATATAGATATTCTTGTTTTTATGCTTCTTCTCTATCATAAAAATAATGGACAAAAACAAGATGAAAAAATATCAAATTCTTTGATAGTAAATATCTAAGTATCAATTCAAATTATACTTTACAACAAACTTGAATTATTAAAAACTGAATATACATATATATTAAAGTTATTGAATACTCTCAAAAAAATTGTCATATTTCAAAAGATTATTTTTGAAATTTTCAATTGATATATTCGATCATTATCATCAACTATCTACGGATTAATGCGTGAATTAATCTTTTAATTATAAAAGAATTCTGTGCATTCTTATTAATAGCATTTTTTAATTTTTACGAAGTGTTCTGCATAGAAATTATTTGCTGAATATAAGTTCTTTTTTTTTCTTAAAAGTCTAACTTATAGAAAATAGAAAGTCAATTTATTGCTCTGCATTCCTAATAAGGAATCTTTTTTTTGTTGTTTAAGGACTGTTAGTCGACGTACTGGCAAATTTCAATTATCTATATAATAGGTCATATTGAACTTAATGTACATTGATTTTTAAATATTTTTTTTTAAAGTTCTCTGGAATTGAAATAGATGATTTTAACATTATTGTACATCTTTCATCGAAGAAAATTTAATCTATTAAGATAATCAAGTATGTGAAGAACGTCTTTTTTGATCTAAAAATAATAAGATATTTTTCTTACATAGAAATCAGGCTTTTAATTATAATTATGATTATTTCTAATTATAATTCAAACAGTTCTTAATAATTTGTGTGACTTGATTAGAGATTATAATGTCCTCAAATTAAAAAACTGTCGTCTAAACTATTAACATAATAATAACGTCAACAAAATGACTGCATTATTCTTTTTAAAAAACTTGCTGAACATATATACTGATATATACCTGTTATTCAACGTTTTCTATTAATATATTTTTATATAGGGCAAGGAAGATGTCACATGATTGATATAACTGACAAGCAAAGTTCTTATTTGGTTTATTTACTTGTTTTTCTCATGTATTATTAACTTATTTTATTTTCTATAGATTCATAATTGTCTACTTCAATAGAGAAAGTGTACTTGTTTTTTTTTGGAATTTTTGTTCGGTACATTATGACGTAAAACTATTTAAATAGTATTTTTCAGTGAAAACATTGTTATAATATTAATCAAAACAATATGGCTATGATTTGAAAATAGAATTGTCAATAGGAAATTGATTTTGGAATTATCTTTTGAGAAAATGATAGATATATCAATGAATACAAACGATTGATATGTAACTAATTAAATATTCAGTCAAAATCATGAGAAAAATAAAATATTTTATGCGCATATATTTCTATGAAAAAATTACAATGTGTATATTCAAAAAGAAAAGTTCTAATATTCATTAAACTAAATAATGGACATTTTTTTTTTGTTTTCATAAAAAGTGGAAAATTTGATTAAGCAAAAATCTATTTTTGTATATATATAACTCAATCAAATCAGTTTTATATTGAGATGTAGTTTTATTTATTTAATATGCAAACGAACTAACAAAAAAAAAATAGAATCACGTAACGATGATTGATTTTATTTTTATTTATATATGACAAGACCTAATTATGAAAAGAAAATATCAATGTCAAATATTATTTAAATTTATATTAGTCGATGTAATTAATAGATCTTGTTGGTGTGGTTGTTGCTGTGAAACTAATGATAATGATGTGTCATCGATTGGAGATGAAAACGAAGTTTCTTGATTATTTAATTTTTTCGTTGATAAACCATTAATTTTTCCATTTGATGTTGAATATTTCATTTGTGAATATTGTTGTGTATATGCATTTATTGTTGATTCAGCTGGCATTTGATATGTTGATGGACGTTCATAAAAATCTCCATCACCAACATTTGTTAATTGTGTTGATAAATTATTTGTTTGACGACGATTTAAACACCAACATATTTTAAATAAACATGGAACTATTTTTTGAAATTCTTTACGAAAATTATCATTTAACCATGAATATAAAAATGGATTATAAATTGTTGATGACATCGCTATAACATGTGTACTTAAAAATAATACTTTATAATGACTTAATTGTGAACGATGAAATTCAGCAACCATATGAACTATATTTAATGGTAACCAACATATAGCAAATATAACAACCATGGCAATAAGCATACGATTTGTACGTTTTTTACGACATATTTCAACTTCTTCACGTATACGTGTACGACCTGGCAATGAACGACGTGCTAATGCAACCCATACTTTATAATAACTAAATGATATAACTGAGAATGGAATTAAATATTGTAATATTAATGATGAAAAATTAAAAAAACGTCGAGATGTATATTGTGGCCAATATTCCTATTGAATGACAAAGTAAAAAAAGAATCAAATTAATTTTTTATTTATTTACTTCACATTTTGTACGATCAAATCGCATATATATTGCTAATGGTAATGATATAGAAATACCAACAATCCATATAACAATTATTAATAATATGCATACACCTAAACGCATACGTGAACGAAATGGATGCACAATAACAAAATAACGATCAACAGCAATGGCTAATGAAGTTAATGTTGAAACATAAACTATTTAAAATAAAAACAAAAAAATAAAAGAGTTAGAATTCAAAAAATAAATCATGATAATTAGCATTTACCTGATATTCCTAATGACATTGGGACTAAATGACAAAGTATTCTACCAAGATGCCAAGTATTGCCATAAGCTGATATTGGTGTAAAGGGAACTGCTAGGCAACACATCTGAGAGATTTATGAAAAAAAAAAAAAGATTTTATTTGTTTAATTGTTAGATATCAATTCCTTACTAGAATATCAGAAAGTGCCAAATTAGTAATAAAAACATTTGTTACTGTTTGCATGGCTTTATTACGGCAAACAACAACTAGAATATATATATATATATATATATGTAATGTGAATTGAGCTTTTTCTACTTGAGACAATAACTTATACTTACGAACGACAAGTGCATTTCCACTAATACCAAAGAAAAATATCAATGCATATAATGATATGAATGTTGCCATAATAGATGGTCGATTTTCAAGTGGAATTGCTTCTGTTGTTGTTGTTGTTGCGCTCATTGTCACGGCTGGAGTTTTAACTATATGCGTAGTAAACGGAGATATATTTATTGGAATAGAACTACTATGATTAAATATTGTGGACATTTGAATACTCAATAGAATTATATCTAAAAATGCGACAGGTTATTTCATTTATATTTCCTTGAATATATTAAAATAGGAGCAAAAAAAAAAGAAGAAGAAGAAGAATATTTAAGTTAGTAAGGATATATCTCGTTTTCAAGCTGTTTTTTTTGTTCTCATTGGAGATGATTATTCTTCTAATATGGTTATATATCGTTTATCTTAATTCCCAAAAGATATTCACTTTTACATACCTTTTATTTGCCTGATAAAGTTATAGAAGATTTCCCCTGACTAGAATTTATATGAAAAAAAAAGTATGAATATGTATGTCTTTTACAAGTTGAGCAGATGACAAAGAAACCGTTGTTTCTCTCGTAGTTTCCTCTATTTCTTTTTTTTTAATAAAAACTCTTCCTTCTTTTTCTTTTTTTTTTCGGTTCGACGTGCTATTTAATAGAATGGTTCTGTGTATGTGTGTGAATGCAAAAATGCGCATCTTGCTCCTGTTATTCTAGTCGTGACTATATATTGTGCTATTTTTGATAGAACTCTTGCTTTTTTTTGCATAGTTTTTTCTCTCTGACTAGAATTTTTTTTTCTTCGTTTATATTAGGTCCTTTTCTTTTCTTTTTTTCTGCTCTAGACATAAGATAATGAAAAAGCAGCAACCAAATAGAGAACGAGACTATGAGAACTTGGGAAAAAAAGGCTCATGTGTTTCCAAAAAGATAAAGAATGGAGCGTGAAAAAACGAGCGCAAAGATTCAACGTTCCTGCAAACATATGCATTCTCGAAAAAGAGAACTCATGTTTTAAAAGAATATGTTGACAAATGAACTCGACAGAAACAAGAAGCTTTCTAATTATTCTAATGACAGAGACATTATCATATATAATACTTCTATCTTAATGTTGTCATTTCTTTTTTTTTTTTTCATTGAAAAACAAAATATACTATTGAATCAAACAAAAGCCTTCATGAACAGACAACAGTATGAACTTACAATAATAATTTTTCTTTCTTCTAAGTAACGTTAGTTTCTGCTCTATTTACAGCATTATATGGAAAAAGAAGAGAGAACGAGAAGGAGAGATTCAATGATGAAGGCTATCTGCTTTAGAAAAATAAACAGGAAATTTTATTTGTCTCGATCCGATTCGATTAGTTTAGAAAAAAAAAGAATTCCGATGTTCTATAATCTAATATGATTAAAATATTGATTCATCTTTGAAATAATCTAATGAAAAAAAAAAATCCAAACCTATTGTAAGCAAATCTTGATATTTGTGTGTGACACGATTTATTCTTCTAAAAAAATATATTCTATTCTAAGTCTAAATACTTCCTTCCCAGTACGATTAAAAAGCACGATGATGCTTATGCAATGATATAAATAAATTCTATATTAATAAAAGTGAAAATAATAGAAAGAAAAAAAAAAAAACATATTAGTTGTGACCAACTATAATTATTTTGATAACAAGAATCTATTTTCTCTTCCTGTCTCCATAGCTTAATTATCATTAGATGAGCTATATAATGTTTTAATAAGAGAACTGTATACCTAAAAAGACTTCCGGAAATAATTAAAGAAAAGATAATGAAAATTTTCTCTTGTTTTGGTTGATATACCGGATGTACAGTGAAATTTGATTGATTGATTTTTATTTAGCAGTAACAATCTTTATTTAAATAAATATAAAATATATTTCATATATATAAATTGAAGAAATGTCTTAGCGATCTTCAAATAATAGGAAAAAGAACTGGTTAAAAACAATAGAATCCGTTCCAATCGATAATGAAGAATATGAAATAAAGCAGTTGATTTTTTTTTTTATTAAGACTAAGTGCTCTCTTGAAAAAATGTACTTGTCATGTCGAACATTTAAGTATTTATTATTAATAAATATTTTCTGGTTTTCTTTTATTTTTCTATATTGATGGTTATTATTTAATTCAATTGATAGAAGCCTTCATAAAAAGTTTTTATTTGTTACCAAAAAAAGGAAAATCATTTTTGACATGTTCAAAGAGAAAATAATTCCAATAGATATATAGAAATCCTATTAAGTACTCTTCTTTAGCTTGAATAAACACAGAGATACGATCAGTTCTTTTTTGTTTTGCTGATCTATCTTTTCAGAAAAAAAAACTCATTTTGTTTTTTTATGTTTCAATGAAATATACGAATAACTCGTTTAGTTATTAAATTAAATGTGACAATGAGTGTTGTTCTCGATATAGTCATATATTCTTGAATGATTTTAGAATGACGCATCAATTACTATATATTTGTCCTTTTAATATTTCAAAAGAATTTTGTAAGTTCATTCAGTAAAATTATCATTGATAGTTTTAATGTATTAATGTTTTTCTCAAAATTGGATCATCATTTTCAAGTTTATTTCACGTATAAAATGTTAAATAATCGGATGTGATTTTTCCATGAAAAGAAATTTTCACTGCTCTATATATTTATTTATTTTCATGGCCTAGATAATTATACAAGTTGGATGACTACATTCATATAATATTATATTGAACTCTACACTTAAGTTGTTTTTTTTTTTGTTTTGCTCATAGAAAAATTTTCTCACAATAATACTCATAATTTCTATTTACACCTTAGAATTATGTATCCATAAATTGAAAGAATTTATTTTGAATTTTCTTTTTTAACTACTTATTCTATAATGTTTTTACTCAAATCAATAAAAAAGATATTTTTAACTTATTGAAACAAATGTTTCTCAGTTTTTTTTTCTAATCAGAAAATGTCTAGACATGTACACAGTACATTATAGAAGCAGAAAAACATTACAGAACTTTGAAATGCATAGCGTGTAGTCGATAGTCGTTGTTCTTTTAGAATATATTCAGCTTTCTATTCATTGGAAGTAAATAGTAATTTCAAACATCGGAAACGCCTTTGTCAATACACTTGATTGTTTTTCTTCAATATAGTCTTTTCATTTTATTTTATATTAAACCTAAATTAAGTATAATAAAAAGAGAATTATCATTTATTTTCTATCTAAAAAAAGTTGATTTTGTTATTTTTTTTTACTTTAAAGAAAACAAAAGAAAAAAAAAAATTCGTTGTGACAAGAAAAAGACCACATAATGAATATAATCAAGATTAGAAAAAAAAGAAGAAAAAAAAAAAAAGAGGAATGAAATTTTTTGCATGCATTCACTAGATTAATTAAGAGGAATTTTTTTTTGTTTATACCAAGCATAGAAAATCAAAAAGACGGAAGAAATGTTTCAGTTTTTTATTATACCGATGTCGGACCAAGTTTATGTTTCATATTACCGTTCACATTATGATATTGTTCCGATGAAGAGTCACGACGCATTAAATGTTCAGCTTCCTCCTAACAAATAAAAAATTTAATCAAAAAAAGCTTTCTTTTTTTATTTATTATATGTGAGAAACTTTAAGCAAAAAAAGAAGGAGAAGAGTTCGCACGAGATATTATATGCATATATTACAAGCAATATTCAATCATCTTCAGGATGACCAGCAACAAATGTCACCGTTGGTACATGCATAGATTTTTGTGATTGATTAGTTTTATTATTATTGGTTTCTGATGATGTGACCTATAAGCAATAATGTGCACAGGTTAAATAAATGATATTTTACCATCACCGAAGTTTAGATTTTTTTATCCCATCTTTAGGAAAGAGTATCTTAGTTTTGGTTTTGGTTTAAAAAGCTCAAAAAAAGAAATATAATATGAGCCTTTACGGTTTCTTCTTCTTCTTCTAGTTCCTCTGATGGTAATGCTTCTGTGACAACAATCAACGGAGCATGTGATTGATCAGAATCACTAGTTTGCATATGACCATCATTGATATAATCTTGTTTCATTGATGTGCCTTTTATAATCTAGATGAAAGAAAAAAATCAATATATCGTGCATAATTAATTTCAAAGCGATAACAAATCAAATATTCTTATTCATCTCTTATAAATTAACATTCAAATCATAAAATAGACCAACCTCTGCAATGCTGAGTAAATTATTTCCTGATAAATCTCGATTTGTTTCATCATCAAGTTTATCAATTGTTGGCTGAAAAATGATTTTTTTGTTTGTATAGTTATGTTTCTTTTTTTTCTTTTTTGAAAAAAACAAAATAAAAAAATCAAAATAAAACTTATTTACTGTTATTGTTTCATTATTATCATCATTATTATCATTTGATTTTGGTATATGAACATGACGAGCAGCTGATGTACGACGAATACGACCAATTTTAGTACCAGGTAATATATCATCAAGCCAAAAAAGTTCTTCTTGTGTAAAAATTTTATCCATTAATTTACGAACAAAACATGTTGCAAGTACCTAAGAAGTAAAATAAGATTTTAGTTTTTAATTGACAATTAATTTTTAATTAATTAAAATTTACCAATAATGGAAAACCAATAGCAATTGATTTAACACTTTTGATAGCAAACATACCACCAAGTGATATAATTTGTATAGCCGTAAATAAATGAACACGTGTTATACGTACATGACGCAAATATGGATAATCAGGTTGATGTTTTTGTGGCATAAACATTAATAAAACTCGATCAAAAATCTTTAAATATATCAATGAAAGAATTATGATGAAAAAATAAACAACAATTTTAAGTTTAGTTACTTGCATATTTCGTAGAGCTGAAACACCCATAAACATGAAAACAGCATAAAGAACAGGCATTGGAATATGCTGGAATTATAAAAACGGATTTATTTAATCGGCATCAAAAATAAGTTTTATTTGTTTGTTTAGTTATTAATCAGATTTTTGCTAAATATAAATGAACGTTTTTTTTTATGAAGATTTCGTCTTCCGGAAGACTGATTTAAAACTTCGGAAAGGCAAACACACTATTCTTTTATTTGCAAGCGGAGACACATTGTATGTTGTGCAATAACGGGACAACATCCGTCAATTCCTATGCTTCATAAAGTACTCATATAGAATATAGCATATTATTTTATTTGAAGAAAAGCATTCCTTTCATCTCTTTCAAACCAGCCAATATAATGCAATAAACTTAATTTACTATGTCATGAAGTATGATATAAATTTAAATATACATCTAATTTCAATTTTCATCATCATTAAGATCAAAAAATGTTTAATGAAACTGGCATAATAACTAATGCTTGTATTATTTCGAAGTTTTTCTTTTTTGCTTGACAAGTACTAGACATATAGTGAGACTATTCTAAATATATGTAAATGAATATTTGTCAAGTGTCACTAATTCTCTTATTATGAAGAGGCCTGTATAGTAGAAATTTTTTAGTCATGCAAATAGATACTGAGAATCATGTTTGAAAATACATGCTTAATAATTAGTATTTATTATTATGGTCATTGAATTTCTAATTATAAACCTATTTTTGTCTTTACAATAATTCGAAACTGTGCAAAAATCACATAATCAACACTATCTTGCAATTATATTAAAAACAGAACAATTATTTTCATTTAAAAAAATTATATTATCTAGTCAAACATCTTTCGGTACGGATTTTTCCGTAACATACTGAAACATTTAATTCGTTACTGTATGGAAAGATGAGTTTAGCAGAATCACTTTAGAAGTATTACAGTTATTAGAGATGTGGACCTATTAGACAGAAAGTCCTCTCAAGAAATGTACTGACTCAGTTAATTTGAAGGTTTTTCACGAAAACGTGAATATGTTTAAATTTAAAAAAGGTTATTCGGGAAAAGACCCAAAACGATCAAAAAACTGATTGTGAGACTTCCAAACAGCTCCTTACTGTCACGATTTCGTTGTATGATATAATATACTGACTATCTGCTATTGTAGTTATTATATATATAAATATGAAACTCAACCAACTAACTCTCTGTTCAAAGATGCTTCTAAAAAGAGAGAGCTGTAACGTCAAGTGTTCTATCTCTTTCTTGTTCATTAACAATTAATAACTTTTAAAATACATACGCTTAAAACATTAGTGAAGAATACACTAAGACCAGTTAAAATAGCCATTAATAGAGCACTGACACGTTGTTCACTAGAAAATAAATAGAAAATGTTTCAAAATAAGTCTTTTTTTTAGTTGAGAAAAAACAAATTTCTTACATAATTCCTTCAAATCTTGGTTTTTCTCCTGGTGCTGTATTTTCACTCATAATTTTTAATGCATTAACATGTGTTAAAGCTAATACTGTAGCTGCTACAAACCATGGTAAACCAAGCATTGATTGTAATAATACTGTAAGTGATAAAACAAATAAATCAAGATGATAACCAAGTTTTTTCTAATGAAGGATAAAGAAAAAAAACAAATTTTAGAAATTAACAAACAATTTTTCATTTACTTTTAATTTAAATTCTTTTCTATTGATAATCACAGCTGTTATTTGTTGATCCATAAATATAAGTATTGTTGCTATTAATGCTGGAATAATTGCTATTGGTATTGTCCATATAGGATTTTTACCAAAAAATGGTATTAACCATCCACGTTCATGTGGTAATGTTGGTTTAAATTCATTTGGCACCTGTAATTTTGGTGTACCTAAATGTAAATATGAATCCCATCCTGACATTAATACTATAGCAATTAATACAGAAAAATCTCCAAGAATCGTACGAATCTAAATATAAACAAAACAAAAAAAAAATATTACATACATATTGTAGAGAGAGAGAGAGAGAGATTTTTTTAATTTTTAATTTTGATTATTTTCTTATTTACTTTTGTTGGAAAAAATGCACTATGACGAAATTCTTGTAAACCCATACAAATAAAAAATGTAAGCAAAAATAAAATTAATGAATAAAAAAATATATCAGCATGATAAGTAGGTGTTGAACAACCAGGACCAATAAGAGAACCATTTGCTTTTTCACATGCAGATCGAAGTGTTCCATTTAAAGTTGTTGCATTTAATAAATAATCAATCATATTTGTATTATTAAGTCTTGTTTGAGTATGAGTTAAAGTCATATTTACACATGAACATGTATAATCTAATACGTTATTTGGTGCATAATTAATTGGATATGTTTTACGAAGTTTTATAATTTCACGTATAGCATCATAGATAAATATTGTTGCAACTAATGATGCAAAACAATCTTCAGTAAAACGTGTTATATATTTAACAAGAAAACTTAAATTAAATATAACAAATATAAATAAAAGTACAAATATCCAAACACCAATCCATAAACGAAATTCAAGAAAATCATATTCATAATCACTGTAAGAAAAAAAAAGTATATAAGAACAAGATATTTTAAAATTAAATTATTTAAAAAAAAAAAAAAAAAAGAAAAATAAATAATTATTAAACATACCTGCACATATGTTTTAATATACGTTCTAAGATTAACATAGGACCAGTTGCCGAAAGAATATTTAATGGTTGACCGGAAAATAAAGCATATACAACACCACTTAATGAAGCTGAAAGAATACATTCCATGGTAGCCTAAGATAAGTAAAATAGAATAAGATGATAAATCTAATAGCACGTTTGCAAGAAAAAAAAATGAAATCTTGAAGTTGAACGCATTTAACACTCATACTTGATGATATTGTTAATAAACTAGAAAATTTAATTGATGTGGAATTTTTATTTCAGACTCAAATGGATCTGCAAATTTATCTCACTATCTAATAAATTCTAATCACATAGTAGAAACAAAAGAAGTAGATATCGAAGTAAAGTTGAAATCAATCGAGCTATGGTTTTTTTTTTTAATTGAAAACTATAAATATCTGAAGTATGTATCCTCATCGATTAACTTCAATATCAATGAGATTGTAAACGTATGCAGAACCAACGATTATGATGATTTCTTTTGTAAGCAACAATAGCTAGAGCATCTTAGAGAAAAGATTGAACCAGCTAAAACAACTTCCTATCAAGAGAAGTACTTATCAAATATTCATTAGCAGATTTGAGTGACAAGTCTCTAAAAAAACGGAAACAAGTCATTTTGGATTCTATCAAAAAATAGTTTGAAGATAAGTTCAACCAATACAGAAAACACTTCTCAACAAAAAAAAATGCCTCGAAGCTTTCCATGACCTATCTTAAGTGCACTGCACCCATTATACAAAAGACCTCAAAGTGGAAAAATCAGGAAATTCATATAAATTTCCATAAAAAAACAACAGACAACAGCTTTTTAACCTTATCGCACAATGAATGTCCTTCATTGAAGATAAGTCACAAAGAGGTTGAGGATATATTATTCTGTTCAGAAATGCTTTTTCTATCTAATAAACTTGTTTTCAAAATGTTTTTGATTGAATCCAGGCAACTAGTTATATGAGTCTTGTTCTCCAAAAGCCTTTTGCCTAAACCTGTTAATAGAATTTTGAAAAATATCTCTTGTGAAAGGAAATAGTTCCAACTAATTAAATCTTTTGTCCAATTTGTTCTACTAATTACTGTTAAGAAAAAAAAAAAGTAAAAAAACTTTCGTTTCTAAACTTTGTGCCTTCAATATCATATTCTAGATCCTTCATGCATTTAGTATGTCTAGTTGAATATTTTAAGTTCTTTTTGTTTCTGTTCTTTAACAGATATATTTCATCATACAAACAAATTTTTATGAAAGATAAGAATATCTTACCATATAATTGTTTGTTGCTGTTCCAAGCATACCACCAAAAGCAACAACTGAACAAAGACATACAAGATATAAATAAAGTGTAGCTGCTATACATTGTAAACTAGCACAATCAGTAAAATCTGATGCATAAAATGGTAATTTATTTTTAATATCGACGAAAAGACCATAAAATGGTCTAGAACAATGATAATTTTCAATAGAAAATTGTTTTTTTGTTTTGTTTTATGTTTACCTTTTCGATGCTATTAAATTTGGATCTGTATGAGGAGTTAAATCAATCTCCTCAAATTGTCCTACTTTTTCTGCTGGTACTTGAGCTTGTCGTTGCTCCTAAAATAAAAATAAAAACAAAGATCTCTTTCTTATATAAACTTATTATTTTAATTGACTTTGCTCATATATTGTGATGGTGGTTCAATGCGAATTGTTGGATCCCATTCCGATGGTGGAAGAACATATGTATCTTGCATAAATCTATCCATCATATCCAAAATACCTTGAGAATCTTTTGATGTATAAGCAAATTCTCTACATATATCATCAGTTAATATAGTTGCCATTGTACGTCCAACTTGTAATAATTGTTTTTCATTTTCTTCGGGTCCCATTAAAAGAACAATAAAACGTGAATAAAGTTTTATTTCAAGCATTCCTAATAATTCAATAGCATTTTCAAGACGAAGAAATACAATTGATGATTCTCGAACAAAATCAACTGGACATATTAATATTGATGCACCTTCAGTTTTACGACTTAATTTCCGTTGTAATTTTATATTATAATCCTAAAGTGATAAAGAATGTTTAAAACACGGAAAAAATAAAAAAATCTGTTCTAATCTCATAGTTTAGTTTTGGTATTGTTTCATGCGTTGCACAAATTAGTGTAAATATTATTCTTATATTCTCATATATTTTAATTGAAAAATTTTTATGTACACTTTTAATAAAGTTTTTATCGAATTTTAACTACTTACGAAAGAACCTCTTCAGTTCTTTCCTTCTGATTTCAATAATTTCTTTTGCCTATACATTGAACTGCAATGAAATTCTTTGCAATGCTTTGTAATTGTAGTTCTAGATAGAATCTTGTTCTTCTAGCTATACTTTAGAAACACCTAGTTCAGTACGCCGGTAACATCAACCAATCAATTCGATGTTTTATAGAAAAGAGCGTTACTTCAGTAATGATAAGATTCGAGCTAGGTTGCACTTAACAAAAATTCAAGTTCTAACAAAGAATGAAATTATTCAAAGATGCCCAAATATTGTGGTGAATTTCTTTCTTTGTCAAAATGGAAGTTTCAGCAGAGTGCAGCGTACGTAGAAACATTGCTATGCAATATACAATGTCAAACATTTTGAGAACAAAGAATGAAAAAAAAGTAAAAAAAGATTGAATAAATACCATTCAAAATTAACTGCTGTTTTGTTTATTCTTCTTAAAAATCAAGTCTCCTCTAGAGTTATTATAGTTTCATTATAAACTAATAGTAATTTAGTGTATTGTTTCTATTTTATCATGCTGGATTCCATGCGGATCACAGATGGTCAACAAGTAGTACTCCGAAAGGTGGACGTGTCGGAGGTTACCAGGAGGTTGAAAAGCATTTGTCTTTTTTTCTATTGAAAATCTCAGCGTTTTCACTATGTTTGACGCTTTTGTATTTTGCGTAAATTGAATACAGTTCGATTAAGGAAGGTCATGGAAAAGTCGGGAATGTCTTATCTTGCTCAGAATCATTTGCGTTATCAAAGAAAACCATTTTTCAAAGCTTCGAATTGAAGGCTGAAAGTTGGTTCGGATGATTGGGTTTTTTTTCGTAGACACTCATTCTAGTAGTTTTTGTTAGAACCTTCGGGCTTACCAATCCTGGTAAAAATCTATTCAGATACACAAAAGTTTTTTTTAGATTCTTTCTACCCATTATCATTGAAAAGAAAACTTCGACAATATAGCTACTCTAAACTTTTATCCAGCACTATAAAGTCTATTGAAAAGGGTCTGTCTTGAAAGCCTCATATCTCAATGATAGTTTGTTGAAAACTTCGGAATTTTTTTGTGAAAACTAGTTTGAGTGAGTTCTCAATGTAGACAAAGTTTCAGAGCAATATTTCAAAAGACGAGTTTCCTGAAAATGGGTGGTTTTTGGAAATAGACATACTAAAAATACGATATTTTCGTTAAATATCAATAGAGACATTTTTATTATTTATAGGCAAAAAAAATCATTGCATTAGAAAGTGGGTAACTAAAGAAGTTCCCTCACTGGAGGACGCCAAAAGTAGTAACTGTGGCAGTTAACAACCTACAAGAAAAAATGAATCAAGTTTTTATTTCAGCAGGTATTTGAGCTAGCAGCCACGCTTAATCACAAATAATTGGTTTGTCAAAAGTATTTTTCAAATAATCTTCAACTAAAAACTTTATCATGTCAGTTACATCACTTAATACAGCAGTTAGTAACTAATTCTATCAATCAAATTTTACTAAACATGACCGACTAAAGAAATATAGTAAATATATGAAGTGATAGTAAGTGACAAGCAGTTTGATGCAGTAATTTAGTCTCAAAATAATGATTCGTATCGCTTTTAAAAATAACCAATCAAATACTCTTTAGAAAAATTAGTGTTATGGAAAAAAAGAAGACTTTAAATTAAGACCTTGTAGCTCTTGAAAGAATGAAATCGAAATTTATTTTTACTAATAACTACAGTGATTTAGAGTGTACGTGTGGGTGTGGGAGAAGAGACTATCAACAATCACTCTCACACTCTTTTCGTCGTCGTTCTATTTTTGTTTTATCTTTTGAAGAAATTAATTTTTTTCGATAAAACAATAAATATTAATAGGCTCGAAAAATGAAAGATAGAAGTTTTCAAAAAACACTCTCATTGGTTACTTGGTATATTATCATTTGATCACCGATTCCCATGATACTTTTTAAGAGCCGAAATCGGAATCGTATGGTTCTACGTTGAATCATCAATATTATATCAATAATTCCCCAGAGAAACCTAATCATTGAATGAGAAAACGAAGATCATCGGCTAGCACTCAAAACATCGAAAATCATTACGACAACGTTCAATCATATATCCATGAAGATGCTTTTACTATCCTGCATCAGAATACATCTTAATTATTTTTCATATCCGCTTTATTCTCCAGATAAAGTATTGCTTATTTTTCACATGCTTGGTCTAATTAATAAACTTCATCAATCAAACACCTTCTCCCATATTGGACAAAACAAGGAGCCAAAAACAATCCTTTTAATGATTGAAACTATTAACTTAGAATTTTGTGTACATATAGCCGGCACTTCATACTAAGTACTTGCGCTTACTCGGTCTTCCTTACTTAAAAAAGTTTCTTGAAAAATGATTTTTTCGACTTTCGAAAACTACGAATTTGCACAATAAAACGTAGCCATTGCATTATAATGTTTGTCAGCAAAAGTCAGACAAGAATGTTTTTCATATATTTGATATAGTATTAACTATGTATTATATAAATCTACTACAAATACTAATTACTCTTCAAGAGCCTGAAGCAGGTTATCATTAATAACTTCTTTTCAAATTTTTATTCTAACTCAATTAATAATTATAGTTAGATAAATGCTTATATAGAAGACACATTTCCTTTTTTGTATTTTTTTTTAATTTATGTATTAGAAAATATTTTCAAAATATATATTATGAGAATTGACAAAAGTGTCGAAATCTGAGTCAATAAATACTAAAATACATTCATCAAATTCAAACGTTCAACTTTGATGGAAGTCTAGTTGTAACATGTAAATAAGCTTTCTGATGCTATGAAGTTTGTCACAAAAAAAACGAAATGATAGAAATACGTCGGGTCAGTTTGCAAGTTACAGTAATTGTGCTCTAGTATGTTGTAGAAAATATTTAGAAAAATACGAAACAAATTATTTTACAGCCACAGACCAAAGTCTTTTTTCCTTTTATCTTTTTAGACTGTTGTATTTTACACAGCGTTTTTTTACTGAGTAAAGATATGACATGAGAGTTTTATTACATTATGATCTATAGACCAAACTGAAATAAAACTGCCATGTCATATCTATACTCAGAAATAAATTGCATACAAAGTGTGATACCATAAAATGATAAAGAGGACAAAGATTTTTCTTCAGGAATATACATATTACAAGAGAACTTATGTAAGCTTTTTTTTTTCTTGTACTTAATTCGCTAAGGAGGAGTCAAAGAACGAATTTTAAAATGAAATGGTCAATATAAAGGCTGAGGTTAGTGTATGTTCGCTGTTTATTTGTCTATTCGAAACTTGACAGACTAGAAACATAAATCATTGCTGTATAAAAGTTGTCAGCAAAGTTTGATAGAAGATGACATTTGAAACACAATATCTCAACAAAGATTTAAGCGTACGTCTTTGTGCATTCATTGAAGGTAGATGATGACATGCTTTACCAAAAAACAATACAACAAATAAAAAGTTGAATTTAAGTTCTGAGAAAATAATCGTATCATTGACCAATGGTTATTTTTTTACTATAGCAAGTCTAAAGTTTTGATCTGATTATAGTCTAAAGAACTTTGACAAGTCCAAATAGTCTGTAATATATAGTAAATACATAACACTGTATAACTAAATAATAACTAATGAATATTAAAAAAATACTCAATTTAAAACATATATTTGACTTATATATCCCTATGAATGACATTCATCTATTTTACATACTTTGTGATACCTGTGTCTTATCAGACACTCACGATAAAGTAGTATCCAAGATGCATTAAAATGTACCACAGTAGTAGCTTCAATATCGCTAGCTATGATGTAGACTCAAATCTCGAAAATCTGTTTTGTCGCCTGCCTGTCCACTGTGTTCTCCTCCCCATTCATTACATGATGAAACTTTTAACCAAAACTTATCAATCTATTATTTTTACTTTACCTTAGCCGATGGTACTGCCGTACCATTCGTTTCATTATGTTCGGGCACTGTCATATCCTGAGTTGATGGTTTACTAATTAAATGTGGTGCTGACATATCTTGTGAATTATCAACTTCATCATCTATTGGAATAAATTAAACAATAAAGAAAACAAACGTTAATTAAAGAAATCAAATATATAAACCTCGTCGTAAAAGATGATTAATAACAAAACTTGGACTTGGATGAAGACCACCTTGTTTAGACAAACTAACTGAACTTGCAGTTTTCATAACAGAACGTTTTTCATGATGATGAAAATGTGGTAAACCAAGAATCCAAACAATTTTTTGAGCCTTATCTACATCATCAATATAATTTGCATCAAGAAGTGCTTGAACCATAGTTTCTAAAAAACAAATAATAAAAATAAAATTTTTCGATTACAGCAAAAACACTGATTTTTGAATCATACGTGAAAGTGTTGGTAAATCAGTTCCTTGAACATTAAGAAGAATAACTCCATTGGTTAATAAATTTTTTAAATCTAATAAAGCTGTTTGCATTAATGTTGCAACATGAGGTTTTGACCAACGACCAAGAACATTTTCTGCTATTTCTTCAAAACGTACCCAACTTAAAATGAACAAAAATAAATAAATTAACTATTCAAATAAAAAGTAAAAAGAAAAAGAAATGATTAATTTTTTTTTTCGTATATACCGTGCTTTCTCTTTCCAATAAGCATATTCAGCTTCTTCTGATCGACGAAGAACATCCAATTGACAAAACAATTGTGGTACATCATTTTCAGCAAAACCCAAATGAAATGTCTGCCGAGTTGGCTATAAAAAAAATTAAAGTAGAGAAAATTGAGCTTTTTTGTTTCTTTTTTTTCGGTTTTCCAATTTCTATTATCTATTTTACTAGTTTTTAATACCTGGGGACCAAATATACTATTTCGTTTTGTTGACATGAATGAAATTTGATATGGGAATCAAACGAAGGAGTAAAAAAGCCAGCTGACTTTATTTTTTATTATGTCCTTGACCAAAGTTGCAGTTTTCTTTTTCCAAAATGTGTGGGTGAGTGCATTCAAAATTAGACACTCATACACAAATATATTACCCTTGAAGATAAATAATCTAGTTTCGTTTGAAAATTTATAATTTTTCTTTTATTTTGAAATATAGACGATGAAATATACACAAGTTAAGAATAGAATCCGATCGGGTTGTTATTTTTCAATTAGAAACTTACCTTACCTCTATCGAGCGCGGATGGTGAATTTGTTGCATCATTGTGTCCGTGTCCGAGTGACGCCGGTTTGCCCCGTCTATAGGAAAAAGGAAATTATTTGAAATATCTTTTTTAAGTTTAATTAATTAATAGTTGAATTTTTCGATAGATCACATAACTACAGCTGCTATTATTGACACTCAATTTTTGAAAGACAAACAACACTCTCGTGGTTTATTTCTTCTATTTTTCTAACTATAATCGTTTCGTTCTTCATAAAAATGATCTAACGATCTTTAACAGAACTCGACAAAATGTGTACTTACTTGCAGTATGTACTTCTGTTAAAAAAAAAAAAAGAAATGAATACAACCTACTTACTCCATTATATATATGTAAATTTGTTTTTTTTTGATCAATAAAAAAATGAGCTAAGAGTCTCTATGAATTATTTCTCGTACTTTTTGATTCTATTCAATGAAAATAAAAAAAATAATCTTCAGCTTTATATTTATATATATATATATATATATATATATATAGGTAAAAAAGAATCTTGATCGTATATGTTATAATACCAAGGCGTTAATAGGCGTCCTTTTTCTTTAGATGCGCTTTTCTTATTTTTTGTTGTTGAAAGTTTGCTTTTGTCTTTGACATTGAATTCAAATTATTATCGACATTTTCTTTATCTAGTAAGCATTTACTTTCTTGGTAAATGTTTTTAACTTAACCACATCGATTCATGTTTATATGTCAATATCCAAACTAAGATTATACCTAAAAATTACAGATTCATTACTGAGTTTACATTAATATTTTGACTTCATCTCTACATCCAATGCCAGATTTAGACTTTTCATTAATAAAATTATTATAGAACAGTAACAGAAATTATTTTAATAGAAAATTGCCTATTTATTAATTGAATTTTTAAATGATTGTATTACTTAAAATGGTATTAGTTCGTCAATAAGACTTTAATCTTATCATTGATCTACAACAGATTGGTTTACGCTTTACTATATTTTTCTCCATTCAATATAAGATTGGACGAAATTTCACCTACGACATTGGCATATTCTTATATAAAAGACTACCTTCTTTAATAAACAAACATTTCTCTGCCAATTCTTTTCTTTACATTTCTTTATTATATTTCGATTATCAGAGTAATATATATATATATATATATATGGGAAGGAAGAAAAAAAAATGTATAAAACACCTTTTCAAGGTCACTGCCTAATAACGATGATTGATAACACTATCGGTTAAGTATTCCTAATCAACGTAGCTTAATAAATTTTGCGCTGATTTTCACCTGTCCCAAATTGATACAAATTATTTTGTTTTATTTTATGTTTTTGATAATGATTTGTCAATCTACCTACGAATATCAAAATGTTTTTGCTTGTTGACACTTAGCTACTTAAATATGTATTTACACAGATATGATCAGATTCATTCTTATAGAAAAAAAGCTTAATCGAACATTTCAATTAAAAAGAAAAATCACTCAAAAGCCTATAAGCGAAAGAAACCAAATAAATTGAAATCTATATCAAATGTTTTGCTTGTAAATATTGATATAATGTTTTTAAAAGAAAAAGATTGTAATATGATTATTTGAATAATTTTAATGAAGACAAAAAAGTTTCTCTTTTGAAGGACATGTAAATTGACAGTTGTTCGTCAACTTTCATTTATTCGTTTGCTGTTTCTTATTCATAAAAAAAGATTTGTTTTTCAAGCACGTAGTTGTCATGTAAAAAAAGGAAAGAAAACCAATAACTTTCTACTACCGACGAAATCTATGAGCTTTTTTTCTTCTAGACCTAAATAAATAATTTCGTGTCTAATTTTAAAAGAATCTTCAAATATTAATATATTAAAATAATAAAAATGTTGAAATCTATTTCATGGTAAAATTTATTCAAAAAATTTCAATTAGAAATCATTTTTTCTACTTGTCGTAACTCAGAAATTTAGAAATGAGATTCACTATTTTATAAAACAAAATACTTACCATATGACTTCGGATTTAAATGTACACTTAAACAACGTTCAGAATTCATATTTGAATAATTAGATAGAATAAAAATTGCTCTTTTGAAGTCTGTCTCTTTTCCTTTTATACCCAAAAACTGTCCAGTTTTTCTTTCTTATTGAATACTCATCAATTAAAAATAACCTGTAAGGATGATTTTTTTTTTTGATATATACATATATATATATATATAATTACAAATTAGAATGCATCTCACATGGCCTTACCTGTGAAGTCATCATTTTTATCATTATGTTGATCTTCTTTTTAGCAAAAAAGAAGTAGATTCGTATTCTGTTAACATCAATCGATTTTATTTGATCATAGATATGTGCACATGTTCACTTAATATTTTTTCTAAATTGCTATGAGCAATATTTTAAAAAAAGTAAAAAATGGTGTCAATGATAATAATCACGAAGAGAACTAGTGATCATGCAATTCAACGACGCATTTTACCAAAGAAAACAGAATGAAAGAAAAAACAGTCACGCAGGTTAGAAAAGCATTGCTCATAAACAATAAAACAATGAAGTCATACATAAAACGACAGTCACATATTTTTCTCACGTATATATATACCTCACAACTACTGAAACACAAAAAAAGTAAATACAAAAAAAAAAATTAAAACAAAAAAACAAAATTCCCAGCATATCAGATTTAATAAATTTCGTTTTCAATTTTTACAATTGTCTTTTCTCAAATCATTGTTATTGCTATTAATATTTTCACATACAATAGATTATAATTAAAAAACAACAGAAGATTTCAAATACAAGTTTTTTTTTTTTTCTTTTGCTCATATTCAGTGTAGTCATTCTAATAATCATTCATAATTATATTGCACTAAACAGGCACATTTTGCTTTATTTCTTCAATTTCCTAATGTGACAAAAAAAGAATAATAGACTGTCCAAATAATAATGAAGAATTTTTTTTTTTTTTTTTGTAAATATTCTTACATTTAAAATTTTTTTTTGTTGGTGTTTGATTGGACAATCGTGATGATGTTGTTGACACTGTATTATCATTTAATGTTTGTCGACGTCGTTGTTTTGTTAGAGATATTTTATTATCTTTTATTTCATTACTTGTATCTGAAGGTAATGATGATTTTCGTGGAAGAATATCTAAATTTGTTTTTACTAATTGTGCACTTCGTAATGATGTTGTTTGTTTATTTGATATTGATGTATCTGTAAGACGTTTTGATATTGTATATTGATCATTTGATTTATTTAATGAACGACGTTTTGATGCATCTATTTCATCAAGAAAATATTCTTCATCTTCTTTTTTTTTGTCATTATTATCATCGGATGTATGATTTGAAAATATTGATAATGTATTATATGAACGTATTTGATCTAATTGTAAAAGACCATTATTTGCAAGATCATGTAATGTTAATGTTTTATCAGCAAGAAAATATTCCATCATAGTTTCAATTTTTGATATAGATTGACGATCAGCTGGTAAACGTAGAATAGATTTTATTTCAATAAGTAATGGAACTAATTGAATTCGAACCTAGAAGAGTGTAATTGTCAATGTTAAATTTTAAAAATTGAATTCATTTTCGATATATATATATATGAAAAATCTTCTTTTTTTTTTGTTTTGGCATAAACTTACACTTAAAACAGGATCATATTCAATTGAAAGAATTGTATCAAGAAAATTTTCTTTAAAAAAACGTTTGGAATAATGAACAAGTATTTGTCGACATACTCTTATATACATAATACGCCATTGATAAGATTTATTTAATAAAAGTTCAGTTTTTAATTTTTGAAATGCATTTTTTCTTATTGATCGTCGTGGAATTTTTCTTAATAATTGAACATAACTATCAACAGCTATTTCACGTACACAAACTTGTTTCTAAGCCAAAAATGATATAGAATTAATTTATTCTAAAGAAAATTGTTCTTTTTTTTTCGCTTACACTATATATACGTGAAAAAACACATGGTAAAATTTTTGTTTGAATTTGTTCACTTGATAATAAATATGGTAAATGAACAAATGCTTGAAGACATAATATACATGAACGCCATGATAATGTATTTTCAAATATTCGTCGTTCATATTCCAAAAGTTGATTAATAAATATTTCTGAATCAGGAATCTATTAAATTTTGTTTTTTTTTTAAATAATGATTATTATATTGCAGTAAATTGGATTTTCCTTTCTATGTTATTCTTACTTAAGAATATTGCATGTTAGATATTTCTTTTTTCAATAATCAATACATAACGAGAAAATACAGATTTTACTAGACTGCATAGCATATTAATCATAAATAACAAGTTAAGCTTAGAAAACTTAAAGTACATGACACAAAAAAAAAACGAGCGTGTATTTTTCCTATTACAATAAACAGTAAGAGAAAATTATGCTTTTGTCTCTGATGCGTTTCTTCATCTATGAATAAAACTATTGTCTGAATATGAGAAAAACTTCTTTTTTTTTTTTTATTAATGTGAGCATCTAAATAAATCTACTCGGACAATAATTATATTCATGCATAGAAAGATAAAGCATAGGCAATAATACTATTGTACGTTATAGTAGTGTATTGTCTTTTGTGTCATCTATTTTAAACTGTCGGAAATTTATTTATAATTTATGACTAATATATCATGCTATGTAGTAAAATCTGTTTTTTTTCTTGCTAAATATTGATTATTGAAACAAAAAAACAATAGCATGCAATGATCTTAAACAAGATTAACAGAGGAAGGAAATTTTATTAAGCCGTACAGTATATCAACAATTATAATCTTCATGTTTGATGTACGGTTTTTTTTGAATTACATTAGATTATTTAATTTTTGTTTCTTATAAATAGTATACATCCTACGAAAGTCCTTCATATATCAAGAAAATTTAGAAATTTAAAATTAAATAAGGGCATTTTTGACCGAAACAAAATATTTATTTTAAGTCTACAAAATTCAATTCGATTATGATGCATATATTCAAACAGAAGTCACATCACTTAAAAATAGACTCTATCATCGTATTGAGTTCAATATGTGCAAATAATTTTCCATTCCTAATTCGAAGATGTATCATTTCTATTCCCGATAATAGAATAAATATTGTCTAGTAGTTCAATAGATCCGTTTGATTAACCTTTTCATTTTATTCGTCAAATCATATACTATTTAAAATAAGGACAGACTTACACCATCTCATCGTCTATAGTTATTTACTTTAACTTTTAGGGATATTTTGTGTCAATAAAGAAAAAAAAAATTGATTTATCACAACGTTTAATAAACATAGGCTTTTTTTTTTGAAGGTGTTTTCAGTCGTCTGAAATTTTTCAAGATAACAATTGAAACAGAATGATAAACAACTTAGTTGAACTAAAATTTAAATTAAAAGTAAACATTGACTTCTAGTGTACACCAATTTGTAATTATTTTCTCAGTAATTTACAGCTTTACAAACAAAGTTCTTTTTTCAAAATAATACAATCATGTTTAAAAAACTTTTCTGTTCTATTGTTTATTTTATATTTCATTTAGTGAACTGTGAAATGATCAACGATACAATTTTTTAAGGATTATCTTTTGTTTTTATTTGACATAAATTCTAAGAAAGCATTTATTGCTATTAAATTAATATGACATAGAGAAGAAAAAACTCCTGATTTCTGAAATCTGGATTTGACAAGTCTGATTAAGGGAACTTTTACAAGTATTATTTTATAATAGTGACTTTTAAAATTTTCTAATGGATGATACAAAATTTCTAAATTAGTTTTGTGCTCAATATAATATAACAAAGATTCGTCGTGGAAACTTGATAGTGTTCTTGTTAGAAAGAGAAAAGACTAATACAAAACTGTAAAGTAACCTTTGATTCAAAATACTTATCAAAGGCTGCAAAAGTACTTTACAACGTCATGCTAAATCAATGATGAGAAGAACATTTAAACGATTTCCGAAATATTAAACTACGTCATTTGCGAGTAGGTATCAACGTGACACGACTTTTCTATTGGTAGCAAAATTTTGGCATTACAAAAGCATACGATTTTATACATTAAAATTTTGCTGTTGTAAAGAACTCACTCAACAGTACGTGAACACGTTTTGCTATCAAATTAATTCAATTTTCTGCGTGGATAGATATTTTTTTCTTCTAAATTCCAGAAGCATGGAGAAAACTTGTCTAGTTAAACATGCTCTTAAAACTTTTCATCCTTCAGTAAATATTTTTTTAAAGCTTTGCAGTAGAGCCTTTGTTCTTTCTAACAGAGAAAAAAAACAAAATTAATGTAGAAATTTTTCACTATTGATTAATACGGACAAATGGAATAAAATAATAGTAGAAGAATTAATATTCTTAATTCGTGCGAAAAAAGTAGAGACAAAAACAGTTTAGAAATGCAATACACTTGACTTTTTTCTTAACAATAATAGCTAGAACAAATTAAAGAAATGATTTGACTAGATGAAATCATTTTCTATCAGAAGAAAAACTAGAGAAATTCTCATAAACAAGTTCAAGAAAAAGATCTCTGAAAAAACCAAACCTATCAAAAAACGTTTTATAAACAAGCTCAACTCCGATAAGAAAACTTTCCGAACAAAATAAAATGTTGCTATGCTCTTCACAATGTATCTTCAGCGAATTACATGTATTTTACGAAATGGTTCAAAGTGTAAAATACAGTAAACTCATATTAATTTTCAACACAGATAATTGATTGTACAATGATTTTCGTTCGCGTCATATTTTGTTTAGAAATCTTTTCGATCAAAGTCAGAAAACTAGTTTTAATTTTTCAGAGATCTTTCACACAAATCTGTTAAAAGACCGTTAGAGAAAAAAAAAACGTCAGAAATACTTTGTGTTTTCACCTGTACGAAATTTGATTTTCATAGAAAATTATGTATGAAATACTAAGAAGACGATAAATTATTTTATTTTGCTTTTTTTTTTCTTACTGCTGACATTGAACAAATAGATCCATATAAAAGACCTTCATCTTGATTTCTTGAAAATTTAATGAATATATTTAATAAATTTGTTGCTAATGCAATCATAACATGATAATTTGAATTATTTAATAATGATAAAAAACCATTCCATATTATTGACATATATTTCTTTTCAGCATTATTATTATTATTATCATATAATTTTGTAAGCTAAAAAGAAATCCTATCGAGACAATATTGTAAAAAATAAAAAAAAAAAAAAAAACTAATGTTTTCTTTTTTGTCTTTATTTAATTTTACTTACATTAATTATTGTTGATGGCATAATTGAACAAATTTTTGAATCTTTATCATTACATAAATCAGAAAATAATTTTTCTAATTCATTTGATAATTCATCATGACCAAGATAATCAATAATTGACTATTAAATGAGGAAAATAATGTTTTTTTTAAATAAATAAATATATATATTATGATTTAGAAATATTTTCTACCGAAAAATGTTTTGCACAAGATAATCGACACTCTGGAAAATTCTAAAGATATATATATATATAAATTCCTTTGTTTTATTTAAGGATTTTCTCTTACTTTTTCTTGACTTAATCGTAAAAATATTTCATGAACAAATTTACATTCATCAATTTGAAAAACTTTATATAATAAAAAATATAAAAATCATATAGTTAGGTTTTTTAAGTTTTGACTTTAGCTTTATTTTTCTTACTGCTCAATGTATGACATAAATCAGAAAGATGTAATGCAATTGTTGTAATAAATTTTGATGTTCTTGATGATAAACCAAATTTAATAAGTGAAATAATCATTTCATTTACTTGTTGAATAGATCTCGAATCATTTAGATTATTACTGAGATCAAGTAATGATTCAAAACATGTTTGACGTACAGCTAAATTATCATCTTTAGATAATGTAACAAGTAATGGTAATATCAAATTTAATATTTGATTATATCTAAATATTAAATAAGAATTTAAGAACAGAAATAGTTGTTAATACAATCCATGCAAGATTAAAATATGAAATATGATGTAGCTATTCTTGTCAATCGCAGAGAGGCTCTTCTGTTTTATTTATATTAAGATACATTTCTTCACCATCTTTTTTATTAGTTGTATAAAATTCTTGCAGATAGACAATCTTCATGATATGTATCAATGAACTTATCGTACTTTCAGTATTCTTATTTTAGGAAAAATTTGAACTTTTATTCTTTTGTCAATTTGAAAATAAAATTGCTTTAGGCTATTGGAATTCAACAAATGTCATAGTTAGTATTTAAGTGTTTTTGAATGAATTTATTTATTTCTATAAACAAATATTCCACCGATATAATATCACAATGATGAAGAATTTTAATTCCTTTTGTTTATTTTTTATCACTTATGTCAGTTTTTCAATCAATAAAATGGTTAGCTTTATTTGTTAATAAACAACAAGCCGTTTGATTATTTATGAATTTAGATTTATTATTCATGCAATTTGTAAGTTTTTTCGTTGTATCTTGAAATCTGGTCCAGTCTTAGAAACTCTTTCAAATCCGTTGAAATCTTATGAAGTTTCACAAAATCGGATGAAATTTTTAAAATTTTTTGAAAGTCTTCTGAAGCCTGCTGTTTCTCTTTAGGCTAAATACGTGTTGTTGAATAAGATTAGATTGAATTTAAGCTCTGATCGGAACTCACCAGATTCGGATCCACAATGGAAGAAACTCGATGCGAGTGAGTCGAGTTTTTGAGTACTATTTATTTTGACTCAATGGTTCACTAGAAAACTTGAGCATGCATGCGAGACAGTATGGCTAGTTGCGGCAATATTACAATAATTTTCATTGTGATAGAATAAGATGACTGATCGATCTGTATAAAAAATACTCATGGTTAGAAACAGAAAGCAGCTGGAGATTAAATCATCCATTTATTTCAGATGTGGACGAAAAGTGCCGGCGCGATTACTGGACGGAATTAAAATTTCAATATTGACTAGAAAAATTTCAAATTTAATTGAGTTTTCAATTTTTACTGCAATACATTTTTTTTGATATTTTCTATATACAAGGTATCCTAATTGGTGTTTTGTTAAAACGAAAAAATGTTTAAGGTTTGTCTTAGTGCTAGAACCCGTCCCAAAATTCTTAGATCAGAAGGGCTCTACTTAATGCTGTCATATAGTCACATGAATCACAGCAAAAATATAATTGAACGAAAATAACGACGAACGGAAGAGTATAGCTTCGAGAAAAAGCGCTAGCTTCTTTAAGAACTATATTACTGATTAAACCGTAGTTTTCTTTTACATTTTGCAGTGTATAGTTTTTGTTTTTCAGAAATAAGTTTATACATCTTACTCGAGTGATTGAGCAAGAATTGGTAGTTTTTGACAAGCAAGTGCACGAATATCAGCATTAGTATCATTGATAAAATTTTTAAATACAGGCAACAAACGATTTTCAACTCTAGAAAACAAAAACAAAACAAATGATTTTTCTTCTATGATATAGAGTTTTTCTTTTTTTTTTTGTCTCCTACATTTGTGAATTCAATCGACATGATAACTTAGCTAAAATTATTGCCAATCGATCTCGAACATATGAACCATGTAAACTATTATTAAAAATTAAATCAAGTAACTATAAAATAAGAGAAATAAATTTTTTTTTTTCAAAAGTTTCTATTATTGGGTCAAACCGAAGTAAATGAAGTTGTTTTTGGAAAAGCATCAATTATATTGCATAATGCTTGACACCATATATCACCGAAATCTATTTTAAAAATTCTTTTTCATAAAAAGACTACATCAATTTTGTTTTTTCCCCTGACCTATTGAAAAACGATTCGTCGTAGTTGGAAATATAAGTGCACAGATCATTTGTGAAAATAATGATATAAACTCCGAATAAGATAATGATTGTTGTTGTATCATAGAAACAATTGTTTCTGCTGCTACTGCATGTTCTCCACTATCAACTGTTTGTTCAATAATTAACTAAATATAATAATATTTATTAAAACAAAACGATAAAAATTTTGACAAAAAAAGAAAAAGAGAAGACATACTTTAAATTTAGGTAATACACGGTGAAAAGTTCCATCTCGATGAGAAATAATTATAGATGGAATAGAACGAATACCAGCAATACGTTGAATATCACATCGTGAACTAATTATGAAAAGAAAATATGAAATAAATCAAATCTATTGAAAATAAAGAAATAATTATACTCAAGCATGGCTAATGTTTTCTCGACAGGTGGTAGATCTTCTGGAATTGTATGTTCACGAATTTCTTCAGCAGTCTAAATGAATAAGATAGTTTTTTTTTCTTGTCGATGAATTTTCTTGTTATTTTGATAGAAAAATTAAATTTCAACACTATATCTCTCATAACGAACATTAATAATTGGGAAAATGAAGTAATCAATGGTACAATTTAAGAACAACCGACTTTTCAGACTTGATGGTTCAAATGAATAATTAAGAACAGTATGTTTTACATTGTAGTCTTTTTCCAATAAATCACTATTGTCGAAAAGATCAATCGACAATCTAATCATATTTGATATACAGTGAGTACCGAAGTATCCAACTTGTTTTTTGTTTTCAATTTTTTTTTGCTGTCGTAAGTACTGATTTGAATAGAGAAAATTGTTTCCCTAAGGGATATAAAGATAAAACAAATATTATTAGGTTTAGAAAGATAGGGATTCTCCAAAACGAAAAGGTTGATTTTTTAGCTCCTAAAAGGAACTTTGTTTAGACTACATAGAACGATAAAATAAATCATCCCCTACTAAATGAAACATTGTCGGATTCTCTAGAGTTTTTTCGGTGAGATATAACCACCTTACGATAGCCCTAAAGTCGTCTTTTTTCAATGTTGTATTGAGAAACAATTTTTAAACCTTCAATCAAATTGATGTATATCATCCAAAAAAACTTCGCAGAGAACTGAGCGATGTCTTATTTTGTATATAATAGTTTACTGTATCGCTCTATATAGTCTAAACAAAATTATATTTGCCCCTTTCAGGAGCTGAAAAACTAAACTTTTAGCTTTGAAGAGTCCTTTTCTTTGCAGAACTGATAATAATTTTTATTTCCTTGTATTCTTGTTCAAAACAATTTTCTCTATTTGACTCACTATATAAAGTCTCTCTAGCACTTATAGCAACAGAAGTAATTAAAACCAAAACTTGTTAAATTACTTCGATACTCACTGTATGTACACAATGAATTCCGTCTTTTTTCTCTTGTTGTGTATGAAGTGAAGTGCGATACTTATTCTTCTTTGTACTGCATTAATCATTCGAAGAAGTTTTCTAAATTTAACTCTTGTTTTGATAAACAACGCATTTTATTCAAATGACAATTTCTGATCAAAATCACTACCCACTGGCACCATATTTTTAATTTTGCACTTTATACTTTAAATTTTATGTGTAGAATACAGTTTTTGTAGTGCAATTACATTTTCATTCTACTTCGCATATGTACTTTGTACTTTAAGTATGCTTTTACTGACAAGCAAGCATATGCAACTAGCTTTTTCATGCATGTTGCCTCTGTCGAAGTTGAAACATCTTCTAAAAATGCTAGATTATTGTATTGTTGTTTTTTGACATACCTAAAGAAGTCCTATAATTTCGGGTGCACTGCGTTTGTAGCATTTTGGTATGAAAGGAAGAAGATAGAAGGACACTATTCAGAGTAGACACACCAACATGTTTCCAGTTCGTGGAATACAAATTTTTTTAGACAAATCGGGATAAACAAGCGAACCATTTTTGGACTCGTCTAACTTGAGTCCATTTCCATATAGCTTTCAAGGTAGCATTCCAGAATTTTGAGTTTATGGCGAATTTTTACTTTACTCATCAAAATCTATCTTGCTTTAAATTTTCAATATTTTCGGGTGGATGGATATCTAAAAGGTCAAAAATAGGAATGAGGTTCCTTATCTACAAAATGTCATTAAGAGTATTTTAGTTATTCACTGCCTCATGCATAATTATCCTTCATAAACTATACTATTTAAAATAATTCCAGTATTTACGCTATTGACGAATTTAGATCTGAAAATTCTATTTATCTTCAAATGTTGCTAAGTTTTTTTCAATTAATAACGAATATGAAAAGTCAACAAATAAAAACTTTTTATAACACCTAATCTTATGTAAGATAACACAACAAGATCATGCTCTTCTTATAGGTGCTTGAAAATATGACGAACTTTAAATTTCATTAGAATATGAATATAGATGACATCGATATAGAAAATATTAATTAAAGCTAAACATGAAATTATCTTAATACCAATAGTCAATACAAAAGTACTTAATTAAAATATGCTTCTATTCAGTGTACCCGAACTCATATAATTATTGTCACTATCAGAGAAAGAACACTATTCGACAAGGTCAATTTGCTCTAGCAGAATTTAAAAAACTGTTTTATGGCTGTATTTACTACTATGAAGAAAATTTGCCTCTTATAAAAATTTATATACTCTAAATATAATAAAAAAAAAACAATATTTTTCAAATAATTTCAAAATTAGAGTTCTTTGTAGCAAAAAAAAAAAAGAGAAATCATCTTCACATATGATTATTAAAATGAAAATCTATCAATACCTTTGTTGTAACAGCAATTTTTTCAAACCAATATTCGTCCAAATCATCTTTACGACGAACAGTTGATATATTTCGATTCATTATTATTATTATTATTATTATTTATTTAATCTAAAATTATAATATATTGTCTACTCTAATTTCGTTTCTTTCTGTTTTTCTTTTATTGTCTATGTCCAAGGTAAAAAATTCGAAAAAAGACTTATTCCAATAATGACATAAATAAAATAATAATAAAAAAGAATCGTTTCCTTTTGAAATGAATAAAAAATCTTTCTAAGGTTTCTATTATTAGTATCATATTGTTTGATTCTATCAGCACAAATAAAATATAATAATGGTCCACTTGAAAAAAGAAAGCGTGTTGTTACTTGTATATGCATAAAAAATAATGCAAATAAACTTAAAAATAACATATAAATTATATGTGGAATAAAATCATTTTTTTCAAACCAAATATTGTTTCTTGATTGATTTTTATTTGAAAAAAGATATTCAAATTTTTTTTTCCATAAATCTTTTCTTATTATTTTAAACCAATTTTGAATAAAATTTCCCATGAGAATAAATATTGGTAAAGCTAAAAGAAAATTTGGTATTTGTTTCCATGTCCAATAATTTAAAAAACCCATATTCCAATATTTTTTTTGTACATATTGATATGATAATGGTATCTGTTTTAAACACCATATAGAAGAAAAATTTTCTAATGGCATTGATAAATCATTATTAAATCCATAAATTTTTAATTCTTGAGGTATTTGTTTTTCATAACAATATTCTTTATATAAAAAATATTGTGTAAAAAAAAATGGTAAAATACATAAAATAAAATAATGTATTGGAAAAATTAATTGTCTTTTATGATAAATTTTTTTTAAATAATAATATATAATAAAACCAAATGATATAATACCATTTGAACGTATAATTGAACCAAATCCAAAACAAAGATATGAATAAAAAATTTTATTTTGTTTTAAATAATTATGTCCTAATAATTGACTAAATAAAAATAATGTTTCAGAATATGGTGCAAGAAAAAATATTGTTGCTGGATTAATTATATAAAGTATTGATGACCAATATGCATGATGAAATTTTAATTTATATTTTAATCCTAATTTAAATATTAAATATGTATTACATAATCCAATAAAAAAATTTATTAAAATTGCACTTAACAAATAAGCATTTGATTCAATTAAAAATTGATTGAAAATATAAGCTAATGGACGAATAAATAATAATGGATAACCTGGAAAAAATGCTAAAGAATTTTCATATATATATCCAAATCGAGCTATATGAAGAAAATGTATTGCATCCCAACGACGTAAACCTGAGAAAAATTTATCAATACAAATATCAAGAATTGTTCCATTATTTAATGACCATAAAGGTGGATTAAATACATGTGCATCATGATCTGGAATGATTGTATTTGCAATAAACTAAAATAAAATATCATAGTTGTATTGTTTTTTTTTTTTTATTTGAACTAACTTGAAGTAGATACTGTGCAAATCTAATTTGACAATAAATCCATAAAAGATGTTGTATAATCATTTTGTAAATAATTCGTTACCAGAGAAACTTGATTCGAATTTTTGATATTAGGAATCAATAATTTCATTGGTGTACAAGTTTTACCAATGAGAAAATTTATTGCAAATATTCGTTATTTTACAAAACATAATTTTGTGATGAAATTATTTTGAGTATTTCCCCACAAGTTTCATAAAGATCTTATTCAAAATGGCGAAAGACTTTTATAGAATTCTATTCGAATTCAGAAAAGAAAATAGAAAAACAAAACAAACTTAGATTATAAGAGAAAATAAACATTGAGAAACTTCGAGAGTTTAATTATATAAAAAAAAAAAAAAGGAAAAACTTTGTTTAATTTTTAGATAGATTATGGTTTTTCGTCGACCTCGTGTTAATGTCAAACCTAATGTACAAGCAACACGTCCAGTTAGTACTATTGTACGACCATCGGAAACATCAGTTGAATCAATATCAACTCCACCACAAGAAGAACAATCTACACAACAGATTGATCCTCCCATAGCACCAGCTGTTATTGAAGGTATAAATAAATTGACGACTAAAAAAAAACCTTCAAAAAAGAAAACTTTGAGCTAAAAAGTTTCTTGAAATATAAATTTATGATTTGAAATCAATACTTATATCGATTTTTATTTTATTTCAGAACTCATACCAAAAGTTGAAGATACAAATGAAATATCACAACAACCATCTTCACCTGTTTCTCTTCCTATTGTTCCACCAGCTACATCTACTTCTATACCAACTCCTTCATCACCTCTACCTCCATCATCACCTCCGCCTCCTTCATCACCACCAACATCTTCTCTTCCGCCTCTTACTCCAGTACCAACAGCAAGACCATTCTTTAGAAGAAAAGTAATACCACATATCACTGGTAAAGCAGTTATTCATCATCGCCGGTAAATTGATCTTCTTAATTCTTAATCATAACTTTCATTTGGTTCTGCTTAGAACAAGAAGTGTTAAGCACGAAATCATTCATTCGTCAGTTTTTGCCAGAAAAATATATTCTCAATTGAAAGATTATAGATACGCATGAATGTTTTTCTTCTCTTCACTCATATCCTTCATTATTTGATAGAGAGAGAAACACAATGAACCCCATTTTAAAGCTTTATTTCTTCACCTAAATTGATGATTGTACATCACTTATGATATCCTAGAAATGTGTTGTTAGTATCATATTCGAAAGAGTACTCTATATCAATATTTTATGGGAAATTTGTAGTACTAAAAATATTTTTCGGAGCAACTTTTAAATTAAATTATCTTTTTTTGTCTACAAATGTTCCAAAGAACTGAAATCATATAAATAGAAATAGAAAAAAACATGAGCTATATTTTGATAACTAATACTTTCTAAAAAGAAAATGTCTATAAAATGAAATACTTATTTTGTGATAGACAATTGATAATGTTCATGTGAACTCTTAATTATTTTTATATAACCAGTATGATGAAGCATCCTCAAGTTCGATTCAATAGGACTATGTTGAATTCACATGTGGATATTAGACATTGTTTGACCTTCGTCCTCGTTCTCTGCTTATTCCCGTAGAATAAGCTGAAAATTAACAGCTTAAATGTACTTGTAACTTATTATTACATTCATTTATTGAATAATAAATAACAATAAAAACAATAATTTATACTCACATTTGATTGACTTTATTCTGTAATATAATCCAAATAAAATAAATAATTATACTTATTATTCACTTCGTATGATCATAAAAAACTAGTATAAGTACATGTCATATATTGTCTATTAATTATACAAAGCAGAACTAGATATTTTAACACTATCGAATTTCGTTGGATTCGATAAGTTCCAACTGCCAGATCTAATGAAGTGAGTTTGTCCTGAATGATGAGTAATGTTTATTTCCAAATATCATATTTGAAAAAGTGCCTGATTTTGCAAATTTTTCTGAAAATGTTTTCACACAATCAAAAATTTTGTTTTCTGGACACTTAAATTCATTGACTATCTTAATAAACTACTTGTTTGAAACATATTTAGTAAAAGGATACTTGACGTTATTTTTTGATATATTGAGTGTATTAAATAAATTATATATATATATCAATGATTAAATCATACTTTTGAAATTTAACTTATTCTCTGACTTTTTAATATATGATACTCTTCGAAATATGATTTGATTCAGTTTCTCTTTTGGAATAAACAGAACTTCATTTTTACATAGATAATTTGTTCTATCCAAGGATAAAAAATGATCTGTAAATAATCGTAATTATATTCTTTTTCTTCTATAGACCATCCGCTAGTTGTTCTGGTACAGAAAGTGAAAGTGAATCATCGCGTCAAAAACGTACAACAGCATCATCGATAACATGTGAACGTATAAATCCAACGATTGCTAAGTAAGTTTTTATCGTTCAGCATTTTTTTCTTTTTCTTTTTAATATTTTCTTTGCATAGACCAATCGTTGCAAATGAAACACAATTCAATTCAATGTCAGATCTTTCAATAAATGGTGATATATCAACTCCAACAAAAGCCGAAGTAACAATAACAGAAACATTCGAAGTACATACACCCCTTATTGATCATAATCATATACAATTAACATCTCGAACAAGTACAAAAATTAGTCGTGAATATCTTACTCAACATATTAATTATCGAGCACAACGACTTGCTGCAAAAATTGAACCTGAAATGGTAGATTTTTGTTTTCCGTTTTTCTTTTGGTTTTATAAAAATTTCTATTAATGCTTTTAGAAAATACGAAAACGTCGTGCAGCAACACTTGAAAAACTTGATGAAACTGGTATTAATAAAGGCGCATCTTTTGATCCATCAAAATTAAAAATAGCCGACTTTGCTCATTATAATCCTCGAGATAATCCAATGGAGTATAGATTTTTTTAATTTTCCAATGATCTTTATAAATTTTTTTTTTGTTTCATTCAGAATTAAAATCAAAACAACACAAACAGATACGACCAATGATCCTGTTCGTAAACAGAGTATATCAAGTACTGATGGACAAAATACTATGTCAGGACCACAATTAAAAATTGATGCTAATGGTGCATTAGTTATTGATGAAGAAAGGTATATTTTATTTTTAACAGTTAGAAAATCTTTATTTTTTATTTTTTGAATTATTTAGCTTATATATACGAAATATAGATGATACACCAAGAAATACAATTATTGTCGAAGGACAATTTAATGATGATAATTTAACACATCAAAGTTATAGAAAAATTGGTCGAAGAAAACGTTGGAATAATCGAGGTTTTATTTTTTTATTAAAGTTTTAAATAATTGAAATTTTTATTTTTCTATTTAGATACATTACGTTTCTATCAAGCATTACGTATGTGTGGAACTGATTTTACATTAATTGCACGTGTTTTTCCAAATCGTGATCGAGATGATATAAAAAGAAAATTTAAAACGGAAGATAGAGCAAATAGAAGTTTAGTTGATTCAGCTCTTAGTAAGATTAAGAACTTAGCTTTTGTTCTTAAAAAAATCTCTCTCATATGCATTATTCATATATTTAAGAACAACGTATACCATTTGATCTCACATGTTTTTATTCACCATCAGAAGAATCATCGGTAAATGAAAATGGCAGTGATATGGATGATGGAACACCAAAACCAACACGAAAACGACGAATGGTTAAACGTAAACAAAAACAAGTATGTATTTATCGAATAAAGTCAGATCACCGATTGCTAGAGCAATTTCCATTTGATATTTTGGCTCGATAAGTCTAGAAAAGCCTTTAAATATTTCGGGCGCAGTGACCTTTGTTCAAGAGATGCCAACTTTTTGAACTCTGAAAAAAGAAGCAAATCGTATGCATCTTGGAAATTTTATTTTTTCATTATTAAAAAGGGTACTGCCATTGTTGTTGATCGTTTGTAGTTGTTCAAGACTGTACAACCGACCAAATTGTCACTTTTACTACCGATATTTAGAAGTATTCTGCAGAAGTGAAATTGGTCATTTTCGTCTTTGACGGTCCTACTCGAATTTATAGGATTGTGAAAGTCAACAGTTAGGTTTTAGCACCAGAGATTTACGTATTTGTCTCATTAGAAAAAAAGAAAGTGAGATTATTAGAAACTCTTTAAAAAAGATGTTCAGCCTAACCGAATAAAGTTTGACGAGAGTCGTTGTGTACTACAATGGGAACCTATGAAAACCAAAATTTTACAAAGAAAAAGACTCGAAATGATCCATTTCAAACTTTTTTCTCGAACATATGTCTCTTTATTTTTTATCCATGATCGGTTGTACCGATCTCGAAAACCAGAAATGATCAAAAAGAAAGGAAATACTCTTTAGCTATCTCAAGACTTAATTCGACAAATTCTTCTATCGACAAGTTCTAGGATAAGTTTTAGCGTGATCCATTGGAAATCTTTTGAGATATTGAATTATTATCACTATATGTTGTATTTTAACTAATGAAATGATGGTTAACGAGGGAACATTCTCAAATGAGTCAATCTGCCATTTATGTAAAAGCACTTGAGAAAATTTCTTCATAAGGAAGAAATGATCAAAACTAGGGTATCTTGACACTAATGACAACAGATGAAAGATGAAGAATCAGTTTTTGAGAGAGGATGAAAAGCGTCCTGTCACTCATATTTTCTGATATATTGAATGGATCGCATTGAAGCTGGCCGATAATAGAGTCTATTTAATAAAACCTTCAGATAGCTTAATGGTTTTTGTGTTCTGTAGCTTCTATCACGACTATTCTATATTAACCTAAAACTTATCTATTGTATCAACAATTTAAATCTAATCATTATCATAAAAATAATTTTTACGGTGTGTGTATGATTGAGTTTGGTAAATAGGCGAGCATTATGCTCAACCACATCCACAGTGTATGAAGTGAACGTGATGTTCATACATTTACATGAATAATATTATCGTGTCTAAGTTGTTGTGTAGTTTTAGAAATTCTTTCCAACAAAATAAAAGAACAATGAATGCATTACGTATTGAATGTATTAGTGGTCGATGGATTTGATTTAAACTTTTCCTGTATATATAAACAGCCATAGGATTAATATTATTGATGGAATTCTCTTTCCGAACTGTTAGGTTTAACCAAAGAAAAGAAAAGATTAAGGCGACCCTTGTTGATGATGAAAAATAAGATTTTCAAGATATAGGAAATTTCCTTTTTTGGGAACTTGATAATGCGATATATCTTGAATGAAGATCGATGAGTTTGAGATATTTTAAGGTTTTACTAGACTTACTAAGATATACTTTCGAACTAATATATCAGTTCAAAATCGTTTGGGTACTTAAAAACTTGTCCTCATAAGATTTCATTCTTAATAACAAATATATATATATATGTATAGCCAACATCGTCTGATCCACTTGAAATCAATCGACGTCGGGAGAAACGGTTACAAGCAAGTATGACATTTATGAAATGCTAATTTTCTTGAACGTTTTTTTTTGAGTGTTTTGTTTTTTTTTTATTTTAAGAAAAGAACATTATACGTATTAAGAAAAGTGCAGAATTTATTAATGATGATGATGAAGATGATAGTTCAATGGATGTTGCTGATACAGTTGAAGTTATAACAACAACAATTGAATCAAAACTTGAACAAATGTAAAAAGAATATTTTATAATTAAAAAAGTTTTTTCTTTTTCAAACGATAGTATTCAATTTCGATTGCATAAGAAACCATAAGGTTTTTTATGTTATCTATATTTTATTGACGTCCAATACTCGATGCAAGAAAATTATCTGATACAGTTTTCCATTTCTCTTATGTAAAAAACAATATTATTATCCATGCGTTGTTGCTTTCTATTTACTAAAGAGAAGATATGGAAATAGAACAAATATGTTTACAAGTCATACTGTTCCAGGTCTCTTTCTTAGAAATTTCAAATACAAAGAATAATATTCTCGGCTTTTTTGCGTCTCCAAAGTGAACAGATAGTTGACTTAAGTATTTTTTAATGTGATGTGAACGGAACTGTAATCATCTATAGTACTCAATGATTTGATTCAAATTGATCTTCTTTTTATTTCCGAGTGAAGTCTACAAAGGTATAGAAATGTATTTAAATCAACGATGAATAGTTATACTTGAAGTTTTAGGTTTAGTTTTAAAGAAAGTCTGATCGTTTTCCAAGTTTCCATATAATAAGACACTGCATACATTCGTAAGATGAATACCAATGCGTTTAAATTTCAATAAGAAATTTACAATTCATTTAATCATTCAGTGTTTTGTTTAATAATAAAACCTTTGACGTACTGACGTTATCAATCATCATAGTGTTTAATAATGCAATAATAGAATTTTTCCTTATGAATATTTAATACTATCACATCACATTAGTCTTCTAAAAAGAAAACGAGCCTGTCAAAATACAAAATGTAGTTTTCTTTTTATGTGTGTGTGATGATAATTATATAAAATATTTGATAGTGACAGTTTCATAAGTGCAATCTATCTATTTTAAAGTAACTCAACCGACATGAGTTTGTTATTAGAATGTTGAAAATAGAATATCATGCCTACTTCTTTGGTTTATTTTTTTTAGTATTCCAGCCACTCAAAATGAAGAAAATACTATAGACGTAAGTATTTGAATTTTAAGTATTCATCTTAAATCAATGTTATTTTTTTTTTGTATAGAGTTCTATAACAAATATAGATGAATTAGGAAATCTTCTTGGTCGAATTGATGAAGGTCATTTATTATTTGTTCATAACACAGATGAAACAGGTCTCGATCGAATTGATGTTCATGTTGTTATGCCAAATACAATTGAGAATAACATTGAACAAACTATATTTGATTGATTGAATTATTTTATACATTCTTTTGTTGAAAGTGTATTGATAATTTGTATGTTTTCTTGTTCAATGTGTACAGAAGGAAAAAAAAGCATGAGTTTCGATATGATTTGAAAACTCAATGATACTTATATTTTATGTTTCGTTGCTCTTGTGAACTTATATTGTTCTTGTAAAATAAAAAAAAAAAAAAGCTAATTAAAAATAACAATATAACCGTGATATGGTGCAACAAGTATCTGCTTTAATTGTATGTTAATGAAATAGAAGTCCATCAACTTTTGTTAGTGAATAGAAGCCTGAAAGAAAAAAATGTATTCTGATTACTGTCACCTCAAAATAGAACATTGGTGAGCTATTTTACACATTACTTGCCTCTCTTTGTATTAATAACAAGAATAAATTTTACTTGTCGTTGAAATTGCTTTTTTTTATTTGAATAATTTTATCAAAGGCAAAAAAAAAAGAAGAAAAACATACGTGGGAGTCAGTTATTCTTATTGCATTACATTTCAAGAATCGGGAACATTTATTTTCGACGAAAAGAATTTCAAAGTAAGATTTCAAAGTTCAAATTTCTTTTTTTTTACCCTTAACATTCTATGTACTTCTACCACATATTCTATAAAGAATATATTTTTTAATGTTCGTGGTGTAATCGGAAGGAACTTCTAAGGGGAGCTCAGTCCCCTGACCATGTCGACAGGGGAGGCGGAAATCCTCTGTTAATGCTTTTTGAAGGGACTCAAATCCCTTTTTGAGCAACAGTAACCATTTGTAAAAGGGAACGGAAGACTGAGTTTCCATTTAGTTATGCCACTAATCGATATTTTAATCTGACTTCTTCATTTTACTGGATATTCAGCGAAGTATTAGTTATGTTTTGTTTTACTGAAATCTTCCAATGGAAGGTATTTATCGAAATAAGAAATAACATTGCCAATATTAAATGAGATTTAAGTGAAAAATGAGTATTTGTTTAACTATTTATAGTTCCATCAAAGAAAAAAAAACTGATTCAATCCATTCTCGAAAATTGAATTGATTACACCCTTTTAATTTGAATCTTGAAGCTTTTCGTAGAATTTTTAAAATATTCGTATGGTATTTTTTCCTTTGTAAACATTCGTAAAAATTCATCCTTGTTCTTCAATAATAATAATTATAAAAAGTTTTTATAAGAAAATGAATTTTGTAATTTTTAATTAAAAAAAAATTCTATTTCTCCGTCCACAGATAAACATATTTAAAACTATTTGCTTTAATATGAAACTTTTAAGAAAAAATATAATTTACACTTCGATAAATGGAACTTGAAAAAAAGAATTCTTTTTTTTTCATATCTTTATCACTTTTTATTTATACTTAGATACATTTTCTTATTTCATCAATCAGAGTAAATGGTTAAAATTAGATTAGATCTAAATTCGATTAAGATACATGAAACTTCTTCAATAGACTTAAAAAAATATCAATATAGCTTAATTCCCGATTAAACGAAAATTTTCATTAATATAAGTGGGTAGAACACTCTTATATTCTGTGTTAAAAGATTTAATTTCAATGCCACGCAATTCTCATTCTTTAATTGACAATTTACTGTCAAAATAAGTTGTTAAAATAATGTGCTTACCACATTTCCCCTTCCCACGTCATTTTTCTTTTCTCGTCATTATTTCTGATCGCTACTTACTAGTTTCGATTATCTTTTAAGAAACGACTACAATAAAAAGGCACATCCAACGATGGTTTTAATGACATTTTTAAAACGGTAAGTTTAATTTTTATTATTTATATAAGAAATGATGAAAAAGAAATATCACTCGAAATGTATTCAACAATCGATATAACATTAGAAAATTTCTTTTTTTTTTTAGCTGTTTCTTATTGATATACATATATATATATATGTCTTATTCGTTTCTTACATGTCCATGCTTTAAACTAGTACATAGTGTATTTTACTTCTTTCACTTTATTCTTCTTTGTTTACGCAGACCTTAAATATGTGTATGTATGTGTAAAAGTCATTATGCGACCTAGATAAAATCTATATCTGTCTATCAATAGTTTCTTATTATGTTTTTAAGAATGCCAATATTAACAGTCAAATGGGTATAAACAATTATGATCTTTAGTAAGTTAGGCGATAATATTCTATTGCCCACATAAAAGTAGGCGTTGTCTCAAATAGTAATGCAATTGTTAATAACTTTTTTGATTATATTTACGATAAGGTATGTCCTAAATAGCTTTAAAAAAAGAACAGATTATTGCGTTATTATAATATTTCGCAATATCCAAAATAGTAATAAATGCTCGAAGAAAATTTCATAAGTTCAAAATAACTTCTAATTTTTATCATTATTAAGGATTTTACGTCGACAAGTAAATGGAAAATGATCTCTTCTGTCAGAAAAATATCATGTTTGTTATTTCTTTATGTCAGTTTTTCCTAAGATGAATACTAACAGCCGTACTATATGTAACGCTTCACTTGTTATTTTGTCTATGATTTTTATCTATGTTTGTGTTTTCTTTTTTTTTTTTCTCATGATATATTTATAATTATCTTTGAAGATTATTTCTTTGAAACCAACTAATTAATCAATTCATTATTTTCGTCGGCATTTTTTTTTTTTTCTTATATTAGTCAAGCAGAATAAAAGCATAAACAATTCATCATTCACTCTTGTTCATCATTTTCGAATTTCACCTACACACATACAGATTATCTAAGAATCCATTTGTTAAATTGACGAGTAAGTGCTCTTCTTTTCTATGTTTTTTTTTTCAAGAAGAAAGAATAGAAATCTCCAACACTCATGACTCAATAGTAGTACGTGATTTTTATAGGCATCTTTTTGTTATACATGTCCTGTTTACTTTGTAAAGAGCATTCTTTCATATTTTCTTTGTATGGAATTGAATTTACGCGTAAGATTTATAAAATGTTATTTTTTTTTTTTTTGTTCATACTCTCAATTCTGTCTACAGAATGAACTGGTCAATTAAAATATTTCAAATTGTCATCTTTTCACTTCGAATGCTCATTTCTTTCTTTTAGCATTATTTAAAGCAACAAGCAGCATACAAAATCTGTTGAAACGATAACGTATCATGTATGTGTGTAGAATTTTATTCTATGATTGATAGTAGAAGATTAACTAGTTAAGTATTTCAGTTAATAAATTTGACTATCAACAGAGAGAATGAGCAGTGAACTACTATAAAGATATAATAGTTGAGTTTTATACTTTCGAATGTCTTGAAGATGAAATAATTAGCTTTATATATTGATGATAAAATAAAATATTTAGGGAAGTCAAAATCATATGAAAGAGGTACTTGAGTAAATATAAAGTTGATTAAGTATCATAGATTATCCTAATAGAGTAAATCGTATTGAATTTTGAGCTGATTTCTTTAGTCGGCTTAATTCAAATTTACAGTAAAATCAAGACGATTATGTATATTATTTTTAAGTAAATTATAAAATTTGTTGATGAGAATTTTCAATTTAAGCTAAAGATATCGATTCATTTTTTTAATTAGAAAAAAAAAAAACTAATCTTTTTTTAGTTCAGTCAAGAATTTGCTTACATGCTTATGAGATCAGTCTTTTAGGTTAGATCATAAGTTAAATATACTCGTCTAATATATTCTTTTAATCACTCTGATCAAAGAAAACTTTTTCTATTTGAATTTTATAATTTTTTTTTTCTCTCATTAGTTTGTTACCTAAAAGAAAATCGATTTACATATATATTAAAAATATGTTTGATATACAAGAAAAATAAATAGAAGCTATGAGAAAATAATTTATTCATATTATTATTAACATTAGTGTTTCTCAAGGTTATTTCCTATAAATTTTTTTACACAATGATAATCATCTCATACGTGAAATAGATAAATACCGTGACTTGAAATACAAAAGTTTAGCTCATGTATATAATTGACTATAATCATCAAAAGTAAGATGCTAGTGTAACAATTATATATATTTTGATTCTTTTTATCATAACTTCAGTAGGTGTAGAAAATCTTACTACTTATACTTGTTTTCTTTTTTTTTTTTAATATCTTTAAAACATTTTCTATTTGAATATTATAGAATGAACAATACGTGCACGATTCTTATCATATTTTTTGCATTGGCTTCATGTATGTTATCATCATATCTCGATATTCCACCACCACCTGAACGGCCATTACGTTTTAAAACCAAAGAACAAATTGAACAATATCTTAAAGCTGTAAAAGATTATTATGATGCATTTAAAATTAAACTTGTTCGTCGACAAAATGCTTATGATGATCTTTATTCAAATTTGGACAAATCAATAAACGATGAAGAATTAAATGATCAATTTTATTTATTGGAAAAATTATCTAATACATACAAACAAAATCAACCATCAAGAAATTCATTTCGAGGACGACAAAAAAAAAGTGTTTTTTAATATTAAAAAAAAAAAAAGAATAATAATCTGTTTCTATTTAATATTGTTCATAATTAGCAAAAAAAAAAAACGTATTTCTTGACAATTAACCATTAACAAAAATACTGTCTCGTATACTTTTTCGTTTATTTGTTTGTCAGGCTCACATTTATTTAAAAAAAAAAGAAGTTCATCACTATGTATTACTTTAACTTGTACGTAATTAATAAAATCCATATTCTCTCCCAATATATATTTTTTTTCACTTTTTTTGCTTCTTATATTTAACAAAAAGAAAAAAAAAAAGTCAACATATGTTCATAGAATTTGTTTGATACTAATTTTAAACTATTGAAATTTTAGTTGCATGACGACATGCTGACTTTTCTTATTAAAAACAGTAACATGACTTTTTCCATTTTTACACAATATAAAAAGCATGATATACTTGAAAATTAAAGAAAATCAGAATATAAAAGAAACATAAATAGTATATCTTTAGAAATATAATTTTTGTTTCACAAGCAAATCTTAAATGCAATGATCCATTTCATAAAATTCTATTAAATTTACAATTTTTAATCGAACATTAGAGTTTCTTTGTTTCGAACATTTGAGCAATAAGATAAAGAAAAATTCTTGATAACTCTTGTATTCATGATATAATTAAAGAAATAGGGCATATATAGTTTCAACTTCTTGATCTTGAATCAAATTTTTATGAAAGCATTGAAACCTTTAGAATCACATGATTTCTATATAACAAGTTCATTTTCAAGGTTGTTTCTTACTTGCCTGTTTCGTTTTTTGTTTCAATCAAAAATTATTTTATCTGTAGTACAATTTACTCATGTATCAATCATATTAAATTCGATTAAATAAAATTCAATTTTCCAGGAGACATTTATCTGATGAGATAAAATTTCATTATTTCGATTTATATCACTTCTATATATTTATTAGCATAGTAACTGTGTTTAACTATTTTTTTTTAGTATTATATTCGTAAATAATATGTTAACATATGCTTGTTTTTATTAAAGTACGGATTTAATAATTAAAAAAAGCGATAAATGGAAACTACGCAATTAGTCGCAATATAAAAATTACTCGCATGCTTGACAGAAGAATGAGTTCTATTTTACTTCCCACAAATTTCAATTTGTAGACATGTAATTCAGTCACATACAGCTTTGCGTGACGTTGGGGGGTGGAATGTAAAAAGGAATGTTTACTTGATAGAATGTATTCATCGATGATCTCGCTAGTAAACAATAATAGAATGTGGGTACTCACATTTTGAATCTATTGGGATGCTAAAAAAAGAAAAGATGAAACCTATATGCCATTTCTAATAGTAAAAATGACTGCACAAAGAAGTCCAAAAATAAGAAAAATGATATAAAATTATGAAAAATTCTTAAACCAACTACTACTTTCGTGTTAAGCTCTATGCCTTATCAATTAGAAGAACTTGCTAGGCACGTCTCGTCTTTTGACTTAAAACTTTACACGAACAACGTTTCTAAAATACGATTAGTTCATTGGACAAGTTTTAAGCTTTCTAGTTTTTTCTTTCTGGGGATGGACATTAATTTTTGCACATGAGAGAATTTCGAATATTGAATATCTTAGAATAGGAGACATTAAAGAAGTTACAACTTGCCCAATGCACTGATCTCATTGAGAGCTTTGGTCATGCAAAATTTGAAGTCGAAAGTCAATTTTCTTCATTACCTGACGCGGACGAAAAATTCAATGAAATTTCAATATCTTAAGGATGAAGACTTGGACAACCAAAGGGTTGTAGAGTTTTCTATTACTCTCTAGTACTCATCAAATGAAAATCGACTCAATCGAAAAACAATTTGCCACCTGGAGATGTTCTCTTGTGAATTAGTCCTCCATCATGCTACGGAAAGTTTTTTGCCGATTGTAATTTTTCGTGTTGTGATCAATTGACATAGACTCCATAATAGCCGTCGTTAAACATAAATTGATCATCGCTATTTGTTCGAATATACAAACAAAGTTGATCTGTATTATACTAATTAACAAAATAATCACAATATCAATAGATAATAAACTATATAAAAACCATGTGCAGAACATAAATGATAGACAATAAACAGTATTGTATATGAGTATACAAAAACAGAGAGCATAAAAAAGGAAAAAATATTTTTAATCATTTTTCTTTTCATTTGATGAATTTTTTTCATCTTCAGATTCTTCATCTACAGATTCTTGCTGATTATCCTTTTCTTCATTTGTAACTTCATCTTTTAATTTAGTCGATTTTTCATTTCTAGAACGTTTTCCTTGTTGGTAAATAATAAGACGTGTTACTAAAAGTAAACAAATTATAATTTCAGGTGCCATACGATCAAGTTTATCATGTAAAGCATAATGTGTATAAACAGCACCTAACATTAATACTAAAAGTACAATATTCGCCAATTGTTTAAGTCGTCCTGTTTTAAAGAAAAATAACAACAAACAAAGTTTCTATAAAATATATAAAAGTAACTATGAGGTTTTTGACTACAGAACAGGATATACAATGTTGTGAACAATTATAGAATCAATATTGTAGTTTAGTTCTTTTCACACCAAGATGACTTTAAGGTTACCTGAAAGTCACATATACAAATAGAAGAATTTCTGTTAAATATTTTTAGAAAGAAAGTATGAAGAATCCTTAATTTGTGTATTTAAAATGAGATGTCATTGATCTAGCATAAATAGTTTGGAAACGTAACCTAAGTATTGTAGGATGAATATTTGAAATACACATAGAACTGAGCTTTTGACAATAAATACGAATAGCAAACACTTTTTGCAACAAAATAAGAAGCTCGAGAATTCAGCGCATCATTCTATTCGATAGACATATACAGTATCAAAATTGACGGCAATGAATTACGATGGTTTTAAACTGTTTTCTGGGGTATTTTCGTGCATATTAGTGGAATCGATTTTAACAACGTATGTTTCTCTGTAATAAATTGATATGTCGAGTTTCCGAACGTCTCGTTTGGTCACAAAGAGTATCTGTTATTTGTATTTGTTGTCGAAAAATCAGCCATGTGTGTGTTTCGAATGTTCTAGGTAAAATATTGAACTTAGGTGATGTTTCCGAATCATTTATGCTTGATCAATAACATCTTATTTTTGAATTCAAATATAAATGATTTTTCAAAATTTGTTTTATGAAAATGTTTAGAAGAAATTTCTCTTGCTGTATATGTGACTTTCAAGCAAAACGAAAGTTATCTTGATGTGAAAACAGAGGCAATACCATTTAAAGTATATACTTTTCCGCAGCACTGCATAGAGGCTTCTTGAGAAAGCCTTTCTGTATCTAATGATGCATGCATTATCAAGTTCTACTGCATACTGTTTGCATGGCAAGAGTACGTAGTAGAACTTGATAATGCATGCATCATTAGATAATGTCTTTTTCTAGAAACCAACGTATATTCCTTTGTGTAGTAAATAATAATCAAAAAAACTTCTAGCCGTGTTCAAATAAAAAAACCAACTAACCTGGTATAAGAATTAAAATAACTCCACAAATAACTTCAATAATACCAACAGTCATTCGGTAGTTTTTAGCGTATGGACGCCAACCAGTTATTTTATAAAATGGAAATACTTTATTAATACGTCCAAATTCATGTCTCTGATCATAAAAAATAAAATATTACAACTTACAAGAAAACAAAAAAAAAACATTGATTCTTACCATATCTTCGTATATATCAGGAAAAAATTTCGATGTAACTTTAAATTGTCCAGTAAGAATAAAAAACATACCAACAGTAAGTGTAAGAACAGTTAAAGCTAGTGAACTCATGATCTACAAACAAAAAGTCCTACATAAATTATCATTATTAAGAAAACAATCGCTACAAGAAAAACAATTTACAAAAACAAAAAAAAAATGCACTATCTAACAATCGTTATCATGACAATTAGATAGAGGAATAATTGATTCTTGAGATTCAAATGTAAGTGTTGCACATGTTTCTGTATCAAAATCATAATCAACTGTATCTGATGAAGAATCTGACATAGTACAGTCATGATCATTTTCTAAAGATGATAATTCAATAAGTTGTTGATCAATAGTAATAGGTTCAATTTCGGATGATAAAATATCAGGAACAATATCATTAGTTGATCTCGTATCGGAATTATCTTCGATTGGTATTGAACGAGATGAGTCTTCTAATGTTGATTCAATAGAAATAATTTGACTTGTTGAAAAACTTTCATTTGAAATTGATTCTTCCAATGATATATTGATTTGTTGATCATTATTGAAAGAAGTTTTTTTAGCTTTTGTTTTTGGTATATCCAAAGAAACAGCTAAAAATTTTAAATCAATATAATGAAATCTTAATTATTGGAGATTATCTTTCGAATCCAAAGATAGAATAACTATATTGATACTTGAATTTTTCTACTCGATGACTGTAATAATATTTACTGTAGTAATGTATAACTGTTAAGACCACTTCGGTTTTTTTCTAGCCAGCTACTTCTACGATTTACTTTTTTCGGAATCATTAGAGTTTTTCTATAAATCTTGTCATATATGTTGTCATCAAGCAAAAGAAACTAGACTGAAAGCAAGTACTCAGTTGAGAATACAGGCGAGAATGACACTTAGAATCGGCGATAAGTTTAGAATGACGGCGGATTCTTCAACACTATGGCTCCTTTTTTGATACCATTAAAATATAATGTGCCATCAAAAGATAAGTCCAGATAAATCCTGGTAGCCTCTCACTTTGGTAATGATTTGTGACCTACTGTAAATTCGTTATACCTCTCTATTGTTTTCTATGCGCATAAACTCTTTTTAGATATCTGAAAGAAATAAATTCTTAGGTGAAAGACTTATGATTGCACACTTGAAATATAACCGCATAATAATAAATTCATTTTTCTGAGAGCTTATTCCGCTCATTTACCCAAGAATAAGGTTCATAAGTACAGAGTGCAAAGAGTCACAACCTCTCACCAATATTTATACTATGTTAATAAACGAATAGTGAGTATTTATTATTCTACACTTATTTTTTACAACATAAGAAAAAATAAGTAATTAAGGAATTTACAGGATTGATATCAACTATTAACTTATGAATAACGAATTGTTAGAGAGATCTATGAAATTGTTTCAATAATTTTTCATATTCACTTTCAAGATGAAAATAGTTTACGGAAACGATTTATTACTTCCTCGTCATCGCTTTAGTTGCGATAAGGTAAACACTCATGCATTTATGAAACCTGATTAGATGCTGCTTTTTTTCGAATTGATGAAATCAGAAATCATAAGATATAGATCTAGTAAAATTTTATTCGTTGACTTTTCAAGCCAAAAAAATTTCGGCTTCGAATAATTATAAGTTTTCCAATTATAATAACTCTCAGAAAAATCGTTTCAAATAAGCCTGTTAAAAAAATATCTCTGATTTATTCGAAGTTTAATTTTTTGATTTTTGGTTGGTAAATAAATCAGATTCTATGAATTCATACTATAAAATAATGAGACAAGCAACTGTACAGATGAGCTTTGTTATTATTATCAATAAGAAAAAGAATGTTTTGTACATACATCGAAAGAACTTTTTTGAATGATTTGTTTGTATTTGTTTACTAATTGATTCATTTACAGAATCGATTCGTCGCAAAAGATTTTGTTCTCTTTCATCATCAATTCCTAAATCTAATTCTTCATCATTAGCTTTTCGTTGTTGTTGTTCTTTAAATAATTTTCTTCGACGTTTTCGTTCAAGTTTTGTTTCAAATGATTCATAACGATGTTTAAGTTGTATTTGTTGATTAATAGGTTTTCGTTGCATTTTTTCATTTAATTTTTTAATTGTTACCATTGATGTTTTATCAGTTTTATCTTTTTTATCTTTTATAAAATAATCAATTATTTGAAATAAACGTTTTGTTGTCATTAATGTTGTTAATGGTGCAGCTATTGGTGTAACACGTTTTGGTTTTAATGTTTTTAATACATCAATTATTTCTGAAAATGATGAATGTAATGAATAACATAAACGATAATTTAAATATGTATCTTGAAATGTTACATCAGCACTTTCATTTCCATAATCTTGATAACCAATACAACGTTTTGATAAATTTTGATCAAAATTGGAATGATATTCATGATATTCAACTAATAATTCACCTTAACAAAGAAATAAAATATGTATATTATTTATAGTGAGAAAGAGGTTTTAATAAAATATGAACTGAGCCACTGTAAGTCAAGAGCTCAAACAAATAAATGTTTCAAAAAATGAGGTTCGATGACTTTGTGATAAATTCTTAATTGATCTAGTCAGTGCAATGTATTACTCGGAATTTCAAGCTCTATTGATTAGTATAGGTCCCAAATAAAACGGCGCTTAGAGCAGTTCAGAGCGTATTTTATCAATACTCGTATAAAAAGGCTTGGCACAAAATATTCGGTGATTGTTCGATTAGTAAAAGATAAATGATCAGAGCCTGAAACAGCTAGTTCGAATCTATCTTCGAATATAAGTTCATAATTCTATTTTGCATTGAGACTAAATAACTATCAGTAAATTTTATGAAAAAGTCTAAAACTGTGTCCGTACAAAGCAAAATAGAGACTCTGTATAGTTTGTGTCTTGAAATAAGTTCAGCTCAACATTACTGCAAAGCACTAAATTCAGTACACGATGAACTATTACAATATGTGAAATCTCATCTATTCATTTCTACTGAAGAGTCAATTTTTATGCAAATCAACATGAAGGAAAAATTACTCTTTCAAAAACATTAGTTAAAATGAGCAATTTCATGTACTAGCGGCATAATTTCGCATAATAAAAATATCGACATCTGCGAATTGAAATATCTTTCAGCTAATTTCTATGTAACAGATGTATATTGCGTTACTCTAAATACTATGAAAAACTAGCATTAGCAATGTGACATAGAAAAGGACGAAAATTTTCATTGCGCACAAATTTCCGTTAATAAATCTTGCAAGTTCAAAACTAAACAATGCATTTTGCACAGAACGCTTCAGACTACAAAATCCCTACACAACGAGCTTTCAAAACATACTTAGATTTTAAAAAAATGTGCTTATTCATGATTAGTGATATGAATGAATACGATTATAGAACTAAACAATTTTGTATCAAGACATGAGGAGACCTGTGAAGAACCGATTTTGGTGATGCAATTTCTTGACACCCAATTTTGCCGAAAAAAACTCATAAAAAAATCAAAGCTAAATCGCTCATACCCATATTTCGTTTTTACTGACTTTTTACATATATATCAAAATTTTTTATTATTAAGATTGATAAAAAAAACAAAAATCAAATAATTTACTAGCAGCTATTTGTTCAGTAAACCACATAATTGATAAAAGTATACGAATAGGTTTATCACAATTTCGAAATAATGAACATGGTTGTGTATAATTTGATGATGCTGTACGACATGCATGTAAACGTGTTGTTGTTGAATCTGTTGTTAAACATTCTTGTATTATTGGTAAACATGCAAAAAAATCATATTGACTTTGTTCAACATGTACACGCATACCTAAACTATCATATAAAGCTCGAAAGATTTGTTCATAACCAACACGAGCACTAAGACGAAAACAAAAATTATTTTTTAAAAATGAAATAATTTATTTTTATTTTACCTTTGTTTAAAATGAAAATTTACATTTGATTTATCCGATAATAAACTTTTTATCCATAAAATTAACGCTTCACAACAAATTTCACGTGTTGGTATATGTAATATTTCAGGACGAAAAAATGTCATATCAATATAAATATTATCAATTGGTTTAAATAAATAATTATCATCATCATCTGTTCGTCGTCGATGTAAATGTGTTAAACGTTTAGCTTGACCATGATAAAGACGAAAATCACCTGTAAATAAAACATTACCATGTTCACCTTCAATCCATACCATAACTGAACCAGGACAATGACCAGAACCAAAACAAGTTACAACAATTGTTTCACCAACATGTGGTGTATGTGATGATAATGTATTTTTTAAACTTTCAATATCTATAATTATAGTTTAAAAAGAAAAAATAATTATAATAAAATTTTTTTGTTTGTTAATTTTACCTGCTCCTTCTTTTTTCTTTGCTTGTACAGGATCAATTGATTGAATTGTTAATGTAAATGGTTGATCAATTGGAACTGATTTAAAATATGGTATTAAATGACGATATGGAGTCATTGTACTTAATAATTGTTTTGAAATATCAGACATATATATTGGTGCATTTATTTTTGCAACATATTTACCAAATTCTGGTCGTTCAAGACCAACAAGATGATCCATATGAACATGTGTTATAAAAAACATTGTACTTGTATAATTATAACTTTCAAATGAATCAATTGATATAAGAGGATATTCTTCCAATATACCATGATAAGTACACATCTTTAAAAAAATCTAAACAATTTATTTACATATATGCATATTTTATATGAATAAAGATAATTAACTCTCTATGTGTCGGTATGTTTCTACTATGGCAATGAATGTTCTTATCGAGGTAAAAGAAAGTTTAAAAAACTTTAGACATAAGTTCTATGATGTTAATTAATCATCTCAGTCCATTTCAAATTCGAATACAAATGAAATTATACCACGATATATCTTTCTTTGTTTTATTCTATCGGACAAAGTTAATCGTATATATAATTCTTCTCTAGATCGACTAACCTCTATATACTAATTGGTCTAAATGACAAGACAGACACACCACATAGGATATGGATGGATAGACGACTAGTATTCATACCTGCTCTTTTTCCAAATAATCAGTGAAAAATACTGATTGAGATATATCGGATGGACCAAAGGTGCGTTTACCGAAGAAAAATCTGAATATCGCTGTTCATTTTGGACCAAATGAACTGACTTTTTGTTTAACGGTTGATAGACGACTGTTTATGAGTCATATCCATAAGTAAAATATTAATAAGAACTGCTTTAAAATGCAATCATTCATTTCAATAAAAGCTGTAGTTTTAAAGAAGTTTGCGAAAAAATAATATTGCAGCTTTCTCAATAAGCCTAGCTATTTATGACTTAAACTTTCAGAGCACATTGAGTAACCAAACATGCCTGTATGGCATAGTTTTGAAACTTAACGATAATAATTTGAAGATTTAATCAAAAAATTCATGTATATCGTTTATTGTTTTTTTTATATCGAAGTCAATGGTAGTACATTAAGGTAGTATTTTTCGTATAGATATGAACCATCAACACTTTTTTTCTATCAATAGTAGAAGATTCAGCTCATTTGATCCAAATATGACGAAAATAATCAAGTACTTCTTCGATAAAACCACTTTTGGACGATCGTGTATTTTTTATGTAATCAACGGATAATATATCTTGTCAATCGGTGTCACCGATCTGAAAAAGTACTGTTTACATATTCATTTGTTTTATGTAATATCTGACTTTTCAAAATTGAACTTCATCATCATTTTTTGCATATAGAGTATGAATATGAACCTCACCAATCGTATGAGAGATTAACCATGTTGTCCATTGTTTGAAAATATGAGCAACAAGGACATCCAACAAAGAACTGATCTTATGATTTGACAATGAAATTATTTATCGAATTCATGTTAAAATCGTTGAAGACCCTTTAATTTTATTTGAAAACTAATGATGACAAGGTAAAAAAAAATACATATTGTTCTACATTAAGGTAAGATAAAAAAAAAGCAGATATTGATTAGCGCCATCTCGTAAATGTTTTTAGACTCGAATAAAAAGAAAAAAAAAGATGTAGAGATAGATCAAACGCAGTTGCAATTGTACGAACAAAAAAAACGACTAGAGTGAAAAATAAAGATCTGTTGAAAAAAGAAAACGAACAACAAAATAAACTCATTGTAAAAAAAAAGATTTTTAATCCAAAGATAAATAAACATAAACAGAGTATTGAAACGATCACATTGAGTTGAACATTTTGAAATAAGAAAAAAAAAACTAATCACAATCTGTTTATTTTAATGAAGAAGATCATCAGTTGATTTTTTTGATGAGTCAGTATTCGATGATGATAAAGAAGTGTTGTCAATTGGTAATACAATTACTTGATTTACAGTACCAATGAATGGACTATCTGTATTTATGTTTGTATTTTGTCCATCAGCTCGTATTCCTTGTCTAGCAGGTTCTATAAAAAAAAAAAGCAATAATTTAGTGTAAAAATTTTTGTTTTTTTTTTTTTCTAAAACAACTATCACGAACCAAGTTATAGTGTTCAAAGCAAACATTCAATGAAGAATAAACTATCTTATTACAATGTTTTTAAAATTAACTACTAAGTATCTTGAGCAAGGTTTTTAATTTATAACACTGACATAGTCAATAGTATTTTGAAAGTTAGAATATAATTAAGGCATGCATGATTATTATCGCTTGTAGTAACAGCAAAATAGATTATTGGTTCTTTTTAGGTCTGAATAGTAAAAATGATATTGTCTTATATTTTGATTGCTAAAAAGACTGACATAGATTTGCTGTCATGCAACTAACAGTGATACGAGTCCAATAGTATAAACGAATTATTGACATTGATTAATAGTGAAAAAGAAAAATCATTCTTGTCAGCACGATATAAGAATAATGTCTGCCGGAAAAAATATGTCAATAGGGAAAACGTTTCTTGCTTGATTAATTCTATTCAGATTCTTAAATGATTTTTGTCGAACCTACATTATGTTTTTTCAAGAAAAATACAAATCAGCATAAACTTCAAGTCGAGTTTTTGCGACTCTCCTTTTATAGAAAGAGGAGGAAAACTAACACCATAGTAAACACAAATAACAGACGTCAGGCTTCTTTCCTCAAGTTTCTTAGCAACAGAAAAAGGTATTGAATAGCGTCAACATTAAAACTTAGACTATTGTAGAACATTTCAAAACTTTTCTTGAATTATCAATGACTGAAATATGTTTCTGAATGTTCTAAATAGTACAGTATTTCACTGTCATACAGATTAAAATTTACATTCAAACTGTCAAGAGAGCTATCAGAACTGATATCAATCGTTTGAGTTCATATTGGATTCACAAGTAGATCTCGGTAAGATCCTAAAAGAGTTCATACCCCTGAGCCTCTAGAGTAATTCAATATCTTTACAAAGAAACATTCTTTTCGTTTAAAGCCTCCAGAATATTCCTAGAGTGATTAGATTGATCTATTGAAAAATTTTTTAAGAAATTTTTCGGTCAGAAAAACACCTAACAAAAAAAAAGGCTAATTTATTTCTTTTCTTGAATGTATAAAAAATATTTTTCTATTATTAGCAAAATAGCCATTCAATAGTATCAATGCATTCATACATTCATCATGCTTTAGGTATGGGTAGGGATATAATTGCTTTGATAATTATCACCTGCTTTTTTTCTTTTTAAATGCGGTAGATCGATTTCATTTTGTTCTTTCATTTTCAATCTGTTATTTTCTTTTTATCAATTTAAAGATATAAATATCAAAAAAAATAAAAAAAAAAAACAATTTTTTTAAAATTGTTTTCATTACCTCTTTTATAGAAATTATTATGTGGAAGAAAAAAAAGAATTGAACTTCCAATAAATATATGCCATAAACTATGTATATACCAATAGTTTTCATCTGTTTCACAGAATGCAAATAAAATAAGTGCTGTAAATGCTAATAAAAAGCCTGGTGTATATAATAAAAGACGTTTTGGAGATGGTTGTAAACGACGATATCTAATTGAAACAATGATCTAAAATTTAATCAAAAATAAAAAAAACAAAATAATTAATATCAATTAAATTACCCAAGTTAAAATTGTAAAAATAAATGTAATACTAATTAAACAAATAAATTGTAAATGATCAAAACGATCACGTGAATTAATCACAATACATGTTAATACACCTAACATAAATAGAAATGCTTTTATTGATCGTGGTATTATTGCCATAGTTATTAATGTAATAACAAATGATGCATATGAACCAATAAAATCTGATAATTGTAAACCATCATATTTAAATATACACAATTTATTTATATCTTGATCACATGCATGATAAAACTAAAAGATCAATTTTGTTTTAAAAAAACTTTTTTTTTTTTAATATTAAAACTTACTGTTGAAAAAAACATATTGAAAAAATAAATAAGTGCTTCGATATATAAATGTCTATAGGTAGCTAATATAATAGCTGGTAAAAACATTAAATTACTTATTGTTAAAAAGAGAACACTTGATAAACTTTTTGATAAATAAGCATAAGTACTATCAGTACAACCATATCCACGATAACCTGAAGCAAAAGTTTATATATATAATTGAAGAGATTTATACAAACAATAAATAAATCAATAGCAAATTATTAATTTTTATACATAAGCTATGAGTAAACAACCATCAATAATATTAAACGAAGGCGAATAACTGTTTAAATCGATGGACAAATATTTTCCTTAGTCAACTTCATCAATTGGAAAGAGTATGCTCAGACTAACATTTTGATACTAATGAGTCAATTTGAGCAGTTATGCGCCTCCATCAGTTTATTGATTTATATTCATATATGAAAAAAAATTATATTTTGTGTTTGTTTGAGAATAGATTTAACATTTGTATTTATTTTTTTCATAAAGTTTTAAGCGATAGAGCAATTTCAAAAGCAAAATAAATTATTATATAAATATGATTTTGTTAAATTCTGAATCGTCTTACAATAGTAAGAAGACTTTTCTATTGAAGAATAATTCACCAGATGAATTCATCATATTTTGATTGCTAATTGATTGAAGAAATAACAAGAACAAATGATATAGTTTGAGAAAAACTGAATTCGTTATCTTTCAAAATGGTAAAGTTTCGAATTACTTAACAATGGTTAGATTATTTTTATCTGACTCTACATTGATTGTTTATTAATTCAACGAAGAGAAAGATCATCTTTCAGAACTTAATCGATAAATCGAACCATAAAAATGCAGTCATTTGCACTCGAAACATTTCCGCTAATATAGACGTCTTTTTTCAAACTTGTGTATGAAATTTAAAAGCTTTATTAGAGAAATGCCATTAGAAGAGACCATCAATTTTGTTTGACATAAGTGGCAGGAAGTCTTTTGATTCTTATAGATTAATGAAAAAATAGAAATTTCTCTCAACAACTATCTGTAAAGCTTATAAACAAAATTTTAAAACTAACCAGCAATACATGAACAAGTTGAAAAAAGATTTTGTTGTGATGTCAATATTCTACAAACACCATACGTTCCACATTGTTGTTTTGTACATTGTGATGATGATATTTGAAACATTACAGATAACGAAGCATTTTGACATTCATTTATTGAACTAAAATCAACGAAAAAGAAAACAAAAGAATTTTCTTAAAGAAATAATTAATAAATATATTCAACTAACCCATTACAGGCATACTGTAATGTTAAATACCAAAGAGCCATTTCAGGATAAGGTATTGATCTGATTAATATAGAATTTTTTTCAATAATTATTTTATAATCATGTTCACATCTATTAAATAAAAGTGGTCGATATTTGGATATACATCCAACAACACTAACATTCACATTTGATGATACAAAAGGCTACAAAAAAAATGTATAAAATAAAATCTTATGAAGGAAATTCTTCCACTGATAAATTGCTATTGAGTGGAAACTAATCGCATTATATAGATCCAAATGAACTATGAATATATTGAAAAGAGTTTGTGTTTTTAGCTTATTGGTGCGGAAACACTGTACTTTTACGATATATTTTTAATGAATGCCGTAGCCTTCTCCTCAAGAAAACTGTTTTTCGGATTCGAACTTGAAGCTTTGCATAGAGATAGGTCTTGTCGTTGTTCCTATCCTAAGATACAGCTATGATAATAACCATAGGCAATGGAATATTTTGTTTCTCTCGTACGCTCAACATTTTTATAAAGTCTTCAATGTAGAAGTTCAAAATGAGAGAGTTTTGTTTGAGCTTATGAAGCATGAATCTAAGATAGAATTTAGCTTTTTCATATCTTGTAGCTCTGCTGTCTATGCTTATTAAGTTCTAATTGGTAGTAGATAAAATGTCAACTGACCTTGTAACAGCATGTTATTTGTCAGAAAAAAAAACAGACATTAAACAGAAAGAGATAATTCTCACGATAGTTATAGCTTATCTAAGCTTATATATTTATCTTGAGTTTAGCTTGGCCAAGCCTTCTGGCTTCATCGTCTATGGGTAATCGCGTGACTTTAACATCGCTCATACAAACCGACTGATTTTATGTTCTTATCTCAAGATAGAAGGAAATTAAAAGCCTTTAAACGTTTATAGTAAATTACTCTCATTAAGGTCTGTTTCTTCGGAACTTTTCATTTCTAAATTTGAAAAGGGTGAATTGTGAGTAAAGAGAAAATGCACTAACTAATACGCATCTGTATCCACATCGTAAAATTGCAATATTTCCACAATAATAAGCTAACAATGCAAACTCTTTCCAGTATACTCATAGCTCATTGGGGTCCATAAAATTCACATAGTGTCGATACAAAATCAATTTATCAATTGGAAGATTTCCTTCTTTAATACAAAAAAAGTTCGATAAATCTTTTTACCGCAATTCGAGATTCAAAATCAAAATGTAATGTTCCACCAAGATTTCGATCATCAACAATAAATTCATAAGAATATATCGATGAATCTTTTTCATTTAATGTTATTGAACTAGTACTACCTCTATTTAATCGATCTGTTGCATATATTGGTACATATAAAAAATCATAATAATAATTAAACATTATTCGTCGTGTTGGATAAGATTGAATACAAAAATTATTTACAGATGATAAACATTCTAAAAAAAAAAATAAAATAATTTGAAAAATTTTCTATACAAAAAAGACTCATTCAAATATAATACCTGTTGAACGAATAATTATTTCACTATGAATAGGATTTGTTAAACATGATAAATTATGAACTGTTATTTGAAAATAAATCCATATAAATGCAGATAATTGATCAATTTCTATTGAACATGTTTTATTCTTACAAACTAAAAAAAAAAAAGATTAAATATTTTATTTTCTATTTATTAAAATACTTATGTTAAAAATAAACCTGTTTTGTAATCATATAAAGAAAGATTCGGAAGTGAATTTGTTTTAACTAAAATTATTATATCACAATCATTGGACCATTCTGATAAAATTATAATTCGAGAATTTCCTATTAATGTATAATAACTAAATAAGAAAAATTAAAAATTAAATTTTTTATTCTACATAAAATAGTGCTTAAATATTTACGATGCATAAATCGATGGTTTATTATAAGTTAATTCAATTTGAATTGGCTCATTAAGTATCAATGCTAAAGATATTGGTACTACTTGATAATCCAACCAAGTTGATAAATAAAAATTACATCCCGTTTTAGCCATCTATAGAATATTTAATAATAAAAACAAAATAAAATAAAATTTTTTTATTGACATTTACTTTTGATTCAACAGTTGATGATAGTCGATCAATAAATGTCTAAATATAAAAGATTTTGAAAAACAACTACTCATTATCATAAGATTTTTTTTTTTTTTACCATAGCAAACCATGTTCCAATAGAAGGACTATTTATTTGAATTAATGGATTTATTAATGTTTGATTAAAGATTAACTTAAAAAGATTATGACGACTGGTTATATATGCTTGTGGAAATGATTCATTTCGTGGTGCTGTCAACGGATATGCACCAGATTGAAGATAACTAATTAAATAAACAAACAAAAAATTTTCAAATTTTTTTCTTTTTCTTTTAAACATACAAATGAATATTAGCAAACTGATTCGAACATTTTCCTTCAGTAGCAAATGTTAATGACCAATTAGCTACTTTTGTTGGACCATGAATATTAAATTTAAGAAATTTTGCATCTGAATAACCATCATATTCGAATATACGGATACGAGAATAATGTTGGCCAAAATCACGACCTAAAAAACAAAAGATCTGTTTACTCAAACGTTCAATTTCAATAGACAATGATTTCGTTAATAAAATTTCCAATGTCATTTTTCTTAGTGATAGTAAACAATCGAATCAATGCTGTCTAAATAAAAAGGACTACTCATCGATATTGATGAATTTGACTTTTTATGCTTTTGCGAAATAAAAAAAAAACAGTGTTGAAGTATATAGGTAAAAATTTGAACCTCTCCGACAGACGCTAGTTAATGGACATGTCAAGTTGGTTCTGAATCTGGTGGGATCCGGTCTGAAATATTAGATCCGACAGGCTCTACTAGTCAAAGACAATCACAGAACTTATCTAAACAACGTCTCGTTCTAATATATGAACTATTTTTTTAATGCATCTCTGGAGGATTACGTAAAAAGAGTGATTAGCAACAGTCGCTATATCATATTCTTCATGTTAAACCTACTAATAGTTTTTTTTTAAATAAAGATTTAGTGTGCTAATCAAGTAATCTGAAAAGACTTTATAGAATTGAGAAAAATCGCTGAACTGAATACTAAAGTTGAAAGTTATGTAAGATTTCATTGATTATTAAAACGCATAGCATCATTCTTAACATCACATTTTCATATATAAATCAATTACATATACTCCAAATCTCGATTAATCAAACTTTGATTATATGTATCGAGAAAAATTTTCTACGACGTCAAGGACTTTAACAATCATGTACAAAAGTTTGATCAATCAATTATATAAATATATTATTAGATTTACTATAATTAAATTTAAATCTACAATAAAATGTACCCAAAGATTATCTCGGAAAATATATCACGAAATATGTCGGTCCCTATAGCAAATATAAGCCTATGAAATTAAATTTACATACCATTAAACGGACTGTTCTGTGCCGAACAACAACAAGCAAAAACAAAAACCAATGCAATAATCATTCTAAATCTCTCATTTTAATTTTTTTTTCGTGCTTCTTTTTTAATTATAAATAAAGATCATATTATTCTTTATTTCGTATCAGCACCTTCTTATCTAAAATATATTTAATCATAGAATGGAAAAAAGAAAAAAAAAGATCAAATGATAATGTTGACTGTTAGTCAGTAAAAACTTCTTAAGACATGCATATATATATCCAATAAAAGTTCGCTGGCGTATAAATTAACAGTTCAAGAAGAAAAAAAATTGACACGAAAAGCAAAAAAAAAAAAAATCAAAAGAAAAAACAAAACCAAATGAAGGATAAGATAGAACTTAGGTAATATATATATATATATATTTATATAATTTCTTTTTAGCAGTTTTGGACCAAAAACAAAAAAACACGAGTACAAACAATAAACATGAGAAATGAAAACAAAAGAAAAAGAGTGAGAGCAAGTTAAAAGATTCTATTTATAATAAATAAATAAATAAAAACTGAATGAAAACAAATGAAAATAGATAGGTGATAAAAATTTCTATTTCAATGATTAAAATATATCATCACATCGTGACCAATCTTGTTTTTGTTTACATTCCCAATATTGATTGGTATATATATGCATTTCAGAATCTGTCAATGAATCATGTTGTTTTTTAAACCATTTAGCATCATAAGAATTATGTCCTGATGATTCACGAGTACGTCGTGCTTGTCGTTGTTTTTCTTCAACACGTAATTTTTCTTGATTAGCTTCATCCCAACGTCCTTCTTCCATTAAACGTTGATCAGGACGACGACGAGAATCTGTTGGTGCAACACCTGGTTCATCTTCATTTAATTCAATAGCAAGTTGAGTAAAATTATACATAGCTTCAAGATATGCTGGTGGCATTTTACGTTGCCATAATAATTTCATATTACGAGTTTCCATATGATGGGAATGTGAATGACGACCTGCTGTAGATTCAACAGGACCACCTTCAATTTTCTCAGTCCATGTACCTAAAGAAAAAAAAATAATAAAGATAATAAATTTATAAAAGAAAAATGATAAAATTTAATTTTACCAGTTAATACCCATTGTGCTTGACCAGTAGCATCAGTAACAACACCAGTTACTTTACGTGGAACATCTTTTGAAAAATAACTATAAGGAAAATATTTTAATTTACAAACATCTTTTGTTGTATGGTTTATTATATCCATTTCACCAACCTAAGCAAAGAAAAAAAAATCATATAGTAGATAAGTGACTCTATTTTTTGTTTTTCACTTACATTATCAATCCAAAGTTTGCCAACAATTATATTATTGACAAGAGTAGTTACTTTTTTCCATGTAAAATGATTACCCGTATTTTTAAATATTAAATGTGAGTAACCTATAAATTAGAAAATAAATATTTGAAAATTATTCGATAGGTTTTCTCTTTTGAGTAAAAAACAAAAAAAAACAAAAGTAAAATTCTCATTATTCAGAAATAGTTAACTTATTTGAAAAATCATTGATAACATATTTTTCAACTAAAGAATATAAATGTTAACTAAATCTAATTAAGATTTATTCTATATTAAAATCTAACTAATCAGAAAGTAATTCAATGCTCGGAATTGTTCGTATATTCAGCAATTTTTTTTTTTCTAGATTTTATTATTAAGTCCGATATTTATTTCAATATTAAATACAATGGGATGTACATCGATATTCAAGGAATATGTAAAAAAATATTTACCTAATGGTGTTATACTTAAATATTGACCACGAAATTTCGATGTCATTGTAAATTCTTGATACAATGTCCATCCTTGACCTTCCGCATATGTTGATAAAGCTGGTGGATGATGGCTAACTTGTTCTTAGATTTAAAAGAAAAAAAAAACAAATTCTAAATTGTTTGAAAACTAAATTTTCCAAAAGTAAATCTTTACCAGCTATTGATTTCCAACCTAAATCATCTGTTCGATCACATTCATATGTTTCACCAAGTAATGGATTAAATGGTTTATTAACACGTGTTGATGTTGTTGAATAAGATGAAATAGTAAATGCAGCAACATAAGCTAATTGTTCCCAATTATTTGTTATTTTAGCTGCTGTATCAAGTACATAACTATATTCAAGTTCTTCTGTTATACGTTGTAACATGGATATTGGTTCACTAAAATTAACTGGTATTGGAATTTTTGATAAATCTTTGCCAACACAATTTTTCATTATACTCCATAAATTAATACTAAAAAAATTTTTAATATCATATTTAATTTAATTAGAAAATCAATAAATGTATATATATATATAAACCTATAATTTGGTCGTTCAGGTATACGATCACGACGTTTACGTTTTGGTATAGCTACTTGTTGTTGTTGTTGACCATTATTTAATTGTTTTTGTGCAGTTTGATTAGCATTTGTTTCTGCTATAGTTACTGCATTATTTGTTGTTTCTTCAGTTTTTGGTGCTAAAAAGAAAAATTTATATATAAATTTAAAATATTATTGCTTATCTTATTAGAAAAAAAAAAATGAATAGATAGACACATACCTTTGACAATAACCATTGGTAGATTGTCTTCATCTTGTTCTTCTGATTCACTTTCATCTTCAGCATATGAACTTACATCATCATCAACAATATTTGGTGATTCTTTATCATTAGTTGATATATGTTGTTGAAGTCTTTTAAAATTCAATACATATATATATATGAACATATAGGAATTATTTGAAAAACTTACGGAATACGAAAAACACCAATAGTTTGTGGATCATCAATAGCATCATAAAATTCATCATCATCAGATAAATTATTTCCATCATTTGAACCACGTAAATCTGATGATTTTAATGATGTTAATGTTGGATGACCTGCAGTAATATTTTTCTTTTCAATACGTGATGCACGTTGCATTTGTTTTTCTAATTTAACAGTTTGTGATGCCACTTGTTCACACATACGTTCCATACGTAAACGTGCATCACGTTCAAATTGAATTGCTTTTTGCCATTTACGACCTTGATTTTGTATTAATTGTACAAGTTCTTGACAAGCATTAAGCATAGCTAAAATTAGATAGCATTTTCAATAGTAAAAAATATTTTGTCTTAAATTTGATCAATATTGAATACCAAAAAAGAAAGGATGTTTAATATATTAATATGTAACATATTGACAATAATTGTTATTATTGTCATATTCTATTTCATTTCTGGTCTGTTGATGTTTGTTTATTAATGAGTCATCATTTAGATATATATTCTATACATATAGATATATATATATGTATGTATGTGTTTTTTTCCTGTATGTTGTGATCACTTTAATGTCGTATATAACAATATTTCTATTGTAATAATTTTTTTTTTTTGTTTTCTTTCTATTCCTGATTTTATTGTATGAGTCATCACGATATATAAATACCTTTTCTTAAAAAGATGATTACTCTTGTTCGTTTCGTTTCATTTCATTTAATTTGTTATTTTGTTTCTGTTCTTCAAGTCAATAACTTATTTTATTGACCTTGACCTTTATTGTATTACGCAATTAATAGTACAATACATCTTCTGACTTTTACGTATGAATCTGAATACATGACATAATACAAAGACAATTTTTTTAATGAGAAGATTGTCCTGAGATCGCTAGAATTAAGAGAGAGTAGGGAGCTATGGTGAGTTCGGATCCATAAAAACGTAAACCCATAACTTTCTATTTGCTTTATCTTGATTATAAAAATATAATCATAACTATTCTCTGTTTATCTATCGAAAAATGATTTTATTTTGGCACTTGAAATTTTGATTTGAGATTTTTTCTTATTTAGCATGTGAAATATTTTTTGTAGAATAGAAAATTTGATGCAAAATAAATACAAGATAGCTCGAGGATCACTTTACCGAGAAAACATTGAATATCGACGAAATTTTTTTTTAATAAATGAATTGATCTTTTCAGCATTTTTTAAAATGTGTTCAGTTTCTATTCGACAAAAACTGTATTTTAAATGTCACTGTTAATTTTATTAGGAACCAGTCACTTTTCAAAAAAATTGTTTTAGATACATGTTGTATTTCCGAGTGTACCCTAAAATTGCAGTCATAAATATTGAAAAAGTCTAATGATAAAACTGTAAATGTATTGCATATGTTTTTA